ACTCAAAAGTCTCTCAACCTTGACTTTCATTCAAACAGCAAGCTAGCTTGATTGACCGTCAAAACAAAAACAAATGCAAAACTGCACCCACAGATAAGCTATACAGCATGTGCCTCTTCAATTCTCATTTGTTTAAAAAGTTCTGCCTGCAATAAAGTAGTAGCAAATTGGGGTTCCAGAATTCCCGTTCCCGTAAGATTTCGGGAATCGGGAACGGGAACGGGAATGATGTCCGGGAACGGGAATATTCCCGGGAATCAACAAAGAAAAAAAAAGTTAAAAGCTACACCTACACCATGTATTTTATTTAGGTTTTTGAATCAAATTTTAATTCTATTTGATTTCATTGTCAAATTGATTCTTTTGACAATATATTCCGTTTAAGTTCAATTTTTTTTGGCTTTAGAACAATTCTTAAAGTACGATTTCAAAAAACTGATGGCATTTACGTGCTGGTCTAGCAATCTAGTGCGATTTTTTGAGACAATATTATTGGAGATTGAAAAGTTACGTTCAGCTCTTGTAGATGTTGGTGGAATTGATAAAATATAATCTGATAGATTCAAAAGGCATGGTGATTTATGCTGAAACTTGTCATAGTAATCAAAATCTTTACGAATCGTATCAAATTTATCATTTGTAAGCTTTGAAATTGTAGGTGATGCCATTAATTCTTCAAGATTCAGTTTCAGTCGTTCAGATAGTGTCAAATTAGCCTGAGAAGTGCTCGGTAAACAGTCTTGAGATTCAAGTTGTTCGATTGCTGATGAACTCTCCTTATTCATAAAACGTTCAACTATTGATTGCCCATATTTTTGAATTGCTTTCTTCGATGGATAGCAAAAGTGCTGATTTGTACTCAACATGTCAGGGTTTTGTAAGTATAATGCTAAAGCAGAAAGTTTGATGTTACGACGGTTGTTTAAGCGATCTTTAACAGCTTTATAAAATGATGAAGCAAGTCCACTTTTTTGATCCTTCAGTGTGTCTAGCATAAGAATTAGAATTCGTTCAGCTGTGTAAATATTAGTTGAATCTGAAGACAGGTATTGAATTGCTGTTTTAGCAGGCTCTAAAATTGTTAAAAGTTTTTTTAATATATCCGTATCCTCATGATCCCATAGATATGATCGATTTATATCCTTGTTCCACAAAGCGTTGACTATACATGGCTCCAATAAAATAAATCGTTCAATTGATAAATATAGACTTGACCAACGTGTTTTTACATCCTTCTTGAGCTTCAGTTGCTTCTTGTGAACAACTTTTACATATTTTTGAAGTATATTATTTTTAACTGTTGAAGTTGAAAATAATTTAATGACTTTTCGCATTTTTTTAATGGTTGTTTCAATTTTTGCGTTGAATTCATAATCAGTATTTTCATTATCAGAATCCTCTTCATCCTCACTTTCTATATCCTCACTTTCATCAGATTCTTCTTCATCGAAGCAAACATCAAATTTGTTTTGGTTACTATAAAGCGTGTCTTGAACAGCTAAGTGAATTGTGTGATTATAGCATGTGACATACTCGAAGCTAGATAAATTGCCAAACAACAAATTTACAGCAGCTCCATCACCAGTTACCGCGACAATATCCATATTGGCATCTATTTGAAATTTATGTAAATGTTCCTCGAAAATTTGTTTCATTCTGATGGCAGGACAGGTTGAATTGACAGGAATCATTCCAAGATTAGTGAATGTATTGGATGTATCAATGTTATAATGCAGGTTAATATTCATATAACGTTGATTTGCCTGGGAGGTCCATTCATCCAGTGACGCGGAAAACTTCTTACCATCTTGCTTAAGCACCAAAATTTTGTTTCTGGTGATATCCTCAATTTGTAGGTAAAAGTCATGCACAATTTTCGCATAAGTAGTGTCATTCTTTGGAATCAATTTGTTTGGAAATTGTACTTTTAAACTAGATCTAATGAATGATGAATTGGCGATTTGATGAAAGTTTAAATTGTCTTCAGCAACTAATCTTGAAACTACTTCCTCAAATGATGAATTTGAAATATATTCTGTCATAAGCTTTTGTTTTTTGGCTGGGTTATCACTGACGACGGTCTCTTTAGTGTCTGGTTCCTCGAATATTTTATGGACTCGCTTCAAATGTTCTGACAAACCTTTAGTTCCTCCACTTCTCTTCAAGACTCTCTGGCAAGGAATGAAACTACATCTTGCAGTCAGATCATCTATAACTGTAAAATGCTTCCAAACCCAAGACATCATAAATTATTGACTTCTGATAATCTACGAATATGTACATGATTAAATTACAGCTTATGAACTGATTTTTTGATTACTTACATATCCAATATTAATTTCAAGCACTTTTTTTATTTTGGAAAAATTACTTTAATCCAATGTCAATTAAGTTCATTATTTTGTGGACATCATACATTTAAAAAAATATTTTTAAATACTTTTTCTCTTCGTTTTTCATTAATATATGTTTTTGATTTAAAAAAAAAATGGGTGTATTATTTCAACTCTTAAATTCCTTAACGTATGTTTTCATTATTATAATTTTTTTCTTTAAATTGTAGTTTTTTCATGGAACATACAAATTTAAAAAAAATCTAATTTGAATTGTCGGTTTTTTTGGTATGAAAACGGGAATTTCGGGAATATTCCCGACAGATTTTCGGGAAACGGGAACGGGAACGGGATTCCCGTTCCCGGGAATTCCCGGGAATATTCCCGATTTTAGAACCCCTAGTAGCAATTTCTATTTTAATAGGTGTGCATATATGGAGCATGTTATTCGCGTGACGATAAATATGTACCTGCCAGACAAAACTTTATACGCATTGATAAATAATAAAAGTTACTTCAACAGTTGTTCTATTTTTACATCTTTTTTTGTATGAGAATTAGGTGCTAAAAATATTCCTCGATAATCATTATTTAAAAGCTGATTTTCGCTTTTCATTATGCTTATGTCTGCACAGTGATCATCAACAGTATCGTTACATTAAATTATGTAATGAAATTCCATCGACCATAAATACATATTTAAGCGATATGGCAGTTAATTCTTATTCGGGCTATGTATATGTCTTGCGTAATCATAATTGTTGTTTTTGTTTCCCATTCGTGAAAATATGGTGTGTTAAACATGCGATGTCATTTTCATATTTTCATTACAGTCGCTTCGGCATTTGCAATGATCATAAATGATGTTTATTTTAAATTTTTGAATTTCATCCATCATTCTTCATTTCTCTTTCAATCCAGAGGTTTATCTCAGAAAACATCCTCATACTCGTGCCATACCCCCAAAAGATAAACATCATTTACGAACGACCCCATACGACAAAAATCTTAATTGATTGCATAAAGTAAATTACATTAAGATATCAGAAAAGAGAGAATTATGGAAGCTCTTTAATTGTTTCAATTCTCCATGCTGCTTACGCATTAAGTTCAAGTTGATAAAATAAACTAAATTAAAAACCGGTTACAGACATTTAAGGTGAAATTTTTTATCAGTTGATTATATCCAACAGAAAATTAATTCAATTTCTCTGTGGAATGAAAAATAAAAAATAAAAAAATATAAAATTTTATTTCTTTAATTAAATCTAACAAACAGAAGCCAACGAAAAAATGATAGTGAAATTATTGTGGGTCAATGCTGAACAATTGTAGTTTAATTAACATAGTTTTCACTTTTCAGTCTGTTTTAATTGTCGGAAACAAAATCATTCAACTCTTTTTTTTTTGAAGAAACTGTAGACACTAATTGGCATATTTTCATTATTAATTTATTGCAATTGAAATGTGGTTTTAATGATTTGTTCGTCATTTAAATTTTAATAAGTATTTAAAGTTTTTCTACAGAAAATTCCTTAAAATGAGGGTTGATGGGAGGAGATGGAGTCATGAGAAATACTATTAATATTTTACTTAATTCGATTAAATGTTTCTAGTGCTTCTAAAGATTGAAAGTAAGTCATCCAGTTCGTTGACGTCTTTATAAATAATTCTTCAATCTAGTTATTGAAGGTAGTTCATTCATTTGTTCCAGTAATAGATTATTAATCATAATTGTCTTCAAGCTACATTTTCGGTCGCCGTTTAAGTTAATTATAATCCATGACATCTTTCAATTGCCACTTGACTTTATTGCTTAGTACTGTTTGCCAATTTTCGATTCTAAGTTTAAGCAATAAAAGATTTTATAGCGCTTTTTGGTAGGTGATAGGTTCTCCTAAATTACATATTTTGGACCAATATTTAATTCGTTTATTGACATGTAGCACAACCTTTAACCAATAATTACAATATCAGTATTATAAACCTTAAAAATTTCAAGGATCAAATCTAAAACTCAATATTTAAGATCCTAAAATGTATTCAACTACAAAATTTACGATAATCGAATAATCAGTCCTCGTGCCACATGTAAATGCCTCAAAATAAGGTATCTATTGGCTCACATCTGGTCAATAAAACACAACCGCAGAAAACAAAAGGAATTAGACTCAACAAAGTACAAAACACAATAATCAACTTGAGTCTTTCAAAAAAATTTTTCGATATTTTAATACCACGAAAAAGTTATTGCCTTATTTAAATACAAAAGAAACTACATTCAACCACCCCTAACCAATTGCCAATATACAACGATACCAAATTGTAGCTGAATTGTAGATGTTTATAAACAAACGTGAGACGATTTATGGTAAATTAATTTTGTCTTCCACCACCGCCACCTGTTTATTTGTAATTTTTTTTTTATTTCCCTGTCATTATCAATCGTTTGTCATGTACGAAGCTACCTATGCGTCGATTCATATTTCACTTCCATGCATGCATAACATGATTATTTATAGTCAAATTGAAGAATTTCATCAAATTATTGCTGTGCCAATGACATGCAAAATAATCGTACGCGGTGAATACATTGATCCATGATTCTTCGGTTATTTCAATCGAAAGGATTCAAATTCAGTCAAGTTCGACTTAATGGATAAAGCTAGTTTGTTGTAAATCATGCAATCAATATAAAAAGAGTTTCTTTACGTATGGTTGCCAACATCGTAGGGATTTGTCGAAAATACTTTATTTTATTGTTGATAATAGAAACAAAACAATAAGGTTACATATGTGTACTATAAAAAAATTGTAAGCATAAAAGTTTTATTCATGATTATTTTCCGCTCGCCCCCCTCCGTCTTACATACAGAATAAAAATTGAACAAAGGTTCTTTCCATTCCGCTTAATAACATTCATTATGGTAATTTTATTCATAATAAATATTTTATGTGTCTCTGCGTGATCAATTTACAATTCCTTGATAATTTCCGTTGCTTCAAGTCCCTCGGATCTAAGTCGAGTCAACATAGGACGAAAGATATCTGGTGATAATGGCAATACAGATCCACGTTCTTGAATTTCTCCATCAAGTATCATTTTTGTGGCAATTGCTGCTGGATATCCGACTGTTAATGCCATTGCTGAATGTCCTGTACTTGATGAAGGTTGACCATAACATACGAAATTAATGCCACGTTCTTCACGTCTTCCGTCAGCCCATCTAATTCCAATATCATGTCTTAGGATAATTAAATCACGTTCATTCTTCTCATATGCCTAAAATAAAATGGAATATTTGGATGTCTAATCAATTATTGAGGAATAAATTATAAGCACTTACCAATTTCTTAGAGAGATAGTAGATTAATGTGTCAAGTGGTGATCCTTGCTTAATAATCGTTGATTGATCCAATAAGCCTAATTTCTCGATATAATCTGGATTTCCTACGCGATCAGCAAGCTTCATTTTAAGGTTCTCGTAGAAAATGTCTTCGTCAATAAGTCCAAGTAAATTAGTAATCAGTTGTCTCCATGTTATTTCTGGTCCTGAAGGATGAAGTGCTGGATGATTTTGTGTATCAATTAATCCCAAAAGTTGCATTGTCTTAATGCACTCAGTGAATCCCTTGTATCTAATTGTTCCTCTAACGAATGTGTGAACTTGTGGACCAAGTCCATAAAGCTTCAAATAATGCATAGAATCACGATTTGGGAAACCTTCAAGCGCAAATCCTGGTAAGAAATCTAATTCCTTTGTAGTAGACATCAAGTCTCCACCTCCTTGAATTTCAACAATTTGTCCCTTACTCAAATATCTAGCAGCTGATAAAGTGTTAATGATGGCTCCTCGTGGACTCCATGAGAATTTATATCGTAGTGGATTATCAGAATGTTCAGGTGCTGGAAAACCTCCACAATAGCTGACAAATGATTCAATTGTTCCACCATTATCAATGGCATCATGGAAACACTCCATAGCTAATAAATGATCAATTCCTGGATCTAACCCACATTCACTTAAAATCGTAATGCCTGCTTCTTTCGCTGCTTGATGGAATGATTTTACCTCATCTGATTCATAACTTGCTGTGACTAAATGTGTTTTTCCTTCGACGCAATATTTTGCAACAAGCCCGTGCAAACTATATGGCAATAATGATACAACACAGTCTGCTTCTTCACAAAGTTTCGCCAAGTGTTCTTGATTGCTATTAACATCCATATAAAATGATTCAACATTATCATAACGAATTGCTAAACGATCTGCTTCTTCCTTAACTTGCGAGCATACCTTCATGCTTATATCATTATTACGACTAAGATATTCAACAAGTGGAGCTGAAACCATACCAGCTCCTAGAACTAAGACTCGTTTACGGAATTCCGTACCATCTGACTTATGTTTAGATCTGACGTTTGATTCTCGCAATTCATTTATGTACTCAAAGTTTGGTGTTAATTTGCCATTACTTGCAATAATTGCGCCATCAATTTCTGGCAAGAACTCGTGTTCTTCAAGTGGTTTTGACGCATCTGACTTTAAAATATCGAGAGCATATGGATATAACAATTCACCAAAGTAGTCTGTGGCTTCTGTCGGTAATTGTGTAGGCATGTTATCAATTGAACAAACGAGCACTCCAGGACCTTTAAAACTTTTCGTGTCTTTATTTCTATCAGCATCATAAAGACAGAATGGCGTATCAATTGTCGTGCATTCATTCATAAACTCAATAGAACCACCAGGATCAGCACTAATGTCACAAATTGCCAACATTCTGTGAGGCAAAGAAGGTGCGCCAACTGATGATGGAAGCCATGGAGTGTTGGCAGGTCTCAATAGATTCTTTGCATCAGGAATTGTTATTAATTTCGGTGAACCGACTGCCCAATAAATTCCATTAACAAGAACTGAAGCATACGGAGCAAATTTCTTGCTAAATGTCGATACATATCTCTCAGGGTATTGTTCATATTCTAAAAAAAGAAAAAAAAGGAGAGAAAAACAAAAAGGATGTGCAATTGAGCGTAAAAGAACATAAAAGTATTTTGAGTTTATATTCTGTGAATGAAACATACCTTGGGGATCAAATCCTCCGCCTTCACGTCTCTCTAAATGATCACTTCTAGATACTTCACAACCATAAAGTTTATTTTGGCTTCCATGTTCAGCAACCTTTCTAAGCATATCGGGTGGAACGTACTCGACTGGCAACTCTTGAAATATTTGTTGAGCACCTTGAGAGACACTTCCAGTGCCCGTAAAAATGAACGTCAATGGTCCAATAGATTTTGGCATCATTCCCAAAGATATTTCGTAACCACAATCTCTAACAGCTTGACGTGCCATCATTGAATTTCTATAATTATGTGCCGGTGATATTTGCATAAACGGTGTATGATGTCCGAGTGCCAAAAGACGTAAACCGAGTCCATGCAAAATATTTACCATACCGGCAACTCCTGCATATTTACCAAATGCAACTAATCTCAAACCATTTCTATCCATAAGCTTCTCATAGTCAACCAAACGAATATTTTTCTCGAGTACAGCATCAAGCAATGGCATATTTGATTCTTGTGCTTTGATTGTATGTGAAAAGAAACAATAAGTTTTTCCTGGAATGAGTGCATCAACTGGAACTTGCTTCACACCAAATATAATAGAAGCTTCGCTGATGTCTTCATTTATTACAGCTCCCGCATTCAAGTACGCCTATAAAATTATAATAATGACGAAATAATTAAATTTTGATAACGTAGTGCACAGCAATATTTACAAATTTTAAACTTCATGTGGGTCAATATAATCTAATATGAGATAAGAATTGGCGAGGCTTGTTTCCCAGTAGTATTAACAATAATCTTAAATAATTATCAATTGGACACAAATAGAATGAAAAATATGTAAATTATCTTATCAAGAATAATCTTCTTTTTTTGTTTATTGCCTTCTTGAAATGTGCTGACTAACTGTTCATGACCTTTGTATTAAATTTAACATACCTGCATGGGATAAGCTCGACGATTTGATGGTTGAACTATAACTTTTGCACCATCTCTGTTAATTAGTCTTTTTACTGTCGCTGGATTAAAGGGTGCACGACGTTCCCTGGAAATTACGAAACAGCTTTATTATGAAATCTAGTTCAAAAATATTACGCACTTACCAAACAGATTGGTCCTCACGCCTAATTGCAATTACCGTTCCATTCTATTGACACAATAATAGACAAATTTTTAACAATAAACGAATTGTAGGCTTTATAATGGATGTACTCACATGTTTTTTACGGTTTGTAATTCCTTTTATTATATTATCAATTTTCAGAGGACGAGTAATGCGCAACATGTTGCCCATTCAAATTTTAAACTCTGACTAAATTTGGAGCTTAATCTCTTCCAATCATGAGCTTCGAGAGACCAGTTTTAAGACAGCAAAAAAAATGATCAGTATACAAACAATAACAACAAATGCTCGATGATAAGAATTTGCTCAATATGATGCCTTATATACAACGATGAATACTTACTCTCACTTTTCAATTTAAATAAATTTAATGAATAATAAGCAAATACAGACTTTGAAAAATATGTCAATAAAATATATGTATTTAATTTGACTCTAGTCTAGTGTCGAGGCATACAAATAGACAAATCGAAAAATTTGGTCGCTAATATAAAATTTCTTGGTTTAGCAAGGTTTAATGACATGAATAATTTATTTGTTGAGCTTTCGCGTGGATGTTATTGATTATTTACGTACATATGTAATTGATTTTATTTATTTGTTATGTGGTATTTATTGTTTTAAAGACAATAGACAAGTTCACGTGTATTGCCGTGTTGCTTCGATATTTAGTAGTGATTCTTAGACTTTGTGCTTATTCATGTTATGAGAAGTTTGTTAAAGTGTCGCAAAACTTGAGTTTTTAATGTTTTTATAAGAGCACATACAATAGATCCTCAACTAAGAGCAAAGTTTTCATCTTTCATAATGTGTTAAGTGAGAGCTGTAAAGTTAATTCGAGCAATCGGCTTCATTTGTGAACAGCCCGAAATTCAGATTAAAGATATTTCAACCTTGGTATTCAGTTCTGTTTTAAATAAGTTGCAAAATGTGCTGTGAGGCTGGGGCTGATAAACTTTTCAGAAAAGATGCAAAACCTGTATTGAATTGCAAAGTTTGATTTAAAAATACTTGAGGTGTATTGGGGATATAATCAGTTGAGACATTTAAACTCGATGAAATGCTTTCGTGCAGACTTTGTAAACTTATCCTTTCCATTATCATTTTGTTGACATAATCAAATTGATTCTCAAGAAATTTAATTTCCATTTTGTGAATTTGTTCCTTAAAATTGGAACCCTAAGCAACTAAGCACTTCCTCCACTTCAAAAAATTAAGCACCCTTCAACTCTCACACACCGGTTACATTTTAAAACAGTAGCAAACTTATTACCTTATTTCCTGTTGAGCTAGTTTCGAAGACATACGTACAGTCGGAAGTGTCCACTTTCCTTTGTGGAAAACAGCGGAACAAAGAAGCATTGAAAATTTACTCTAAAAGTATTTAAAGGAAGTGAATTTAACCGCACAATCTAAACAAAGGTTCAGAATCCTTCGTGGAAAAATCTACGTCCATAATTTGATTAAAGGATCTCCTTTCAACATTCTCAAATGACAAATCTCTCTCAAAATACGGATCCAATGTTTATTTACACATTCTATCAATCGTGGCTCTCCATATCTAAAGGCAAATGTCAAAAGTTCAATTAATGCATTGGAAGGTGGAATCAAACAAAAAAACAGAAAATCACTCTCTCGCAAACAAACTTCCAATGATTTTTTCCAATCTCTGTCTACCCTTCATTCATCATTCCACTCGCCATACACGTTTTACATGAAAAAATGTTCTTGTTGTTGGCTATGAATGAATGAAAATATATACACACAAATTGAGGGGTTGGACATAAAAATATTTCTCCCTCATTCCGGTAACAAAAGAAGTGCACTGGAAGTTTCGTAGTGGAATATTGATTTTCCTTTCACTTCCTTTTTGTGCAAAAAAAAAAGACTTTTTTTCATATAAGCTCTTTAGTTCGTGAGAGAACCGTCATCGGAACGTGACGAAAAGGATTTTCCTTAAAAATTCGCGAGTTTAAAAATAATTAATTTATTTACCTTAAAATCATATCAAAATGACAGATTCTTAAATTACTTTGTGTTATTAATTAAAGTTGTTGAATTATTAGTTTACTAATATCAATTATATCATGGATATTAATCCTTAGTGTGAAGTATATCAATCAAAAAAGTGAGAAAAAATAATTTTCAGTTGCTTAATTAAATTTACAAAATGTCTAAAGTCACACAATTGTCCTTAATTAAGGCACATTCAAAAGTTAAATGCATGGGAGGAAACATAAAGTTTTTTATTAGATTTTCCATACAGCATAAAGCTTTGCTCAATGAGGGAAAAATCGTACAGGAGATGAAATTGGAAACGAAAAGTTATGTGAGGCAAAAGAGAAGGAGGTTGATGTAAAAAAAGGCAAAATGAGGAAAAAGCGCTGGCTATTTTTAGATCCATCCAGCAAAAAAGAGATTGCTGATGATTTTTTTAGTAGCTCTAAGTACAGAATAATGAAGTTTATGTAACAGAGTCATACAAACGTACTTGTTGACTCTGAAGTTTATGTGGAATCATTGAGAAAATTCTGCGAGTAGGAAATCCTCTTCTGTTGACTAGTTTTGGAATGAGTTTAGGGGTTTTTGAGTTTAGTTTGCTCGTGTAATTAAGGTATAGTCTTGTTAATTATTAAATTCATTGGAATATTGTCATCTCTCTTTTCAAAAAAGCATTAAGTTTTACTGAGAACATACTCAAGGATATTTTTGGAAAAAAGCACAAAGAAAAATCACAGACGGATTTTTTCTTTCTTATTTTCATAAATTTTCCGAATGTTGAGTACAATAGACAATTTCAAATAAGAAGGTATACGTTTAGCTTTCATTTTTAGATGATATTGGTCAGTTCCTAAGTATGTGTTCTAATTTAGACTTTGTTTAAAACAAAACGTTCCAAGTATTTAAAAAATATCCCGTGCCGGTACTTTGTTTTTACTTAAATATATCTTAAAATATCAAAACTTCCTTCTCGATGGTAAATTTCCTTAATTTGATAAACCTCCGTATCCCTCAAAAAAAAACTGCAGGCTACGTTTCTAAAGTCGATGCCAATTTGAGTCCAAAAAAAAAACAAGGTTTAACATGCAAGGGTTAAAGACCCACATTATATAGAGATGCTCATAATGTCGTCGATACAGCTCATATCTCCAAAGATAAACAATACAGCTTAGATTTCATTTAGGAATATATACAGTAGCGTCCAAAAGTTTAGAAACAGTGTCAATTTTTTTGAATTTTATCAAATAAACATACTTAAACATAAGCAAATGAGCTCAAATTTTCACCAACTGTGTAGTTTTTGCTATATTTTAATTCAATAAAAACATTTTGTAGTATAATTAAATATTTCAAAAATAACCGTTAAAATTCAAAATGGCTGTCGTCCAAAAGTTTGGAAACGATTTTATGATAATTTTTTAAAAAGCTTTATACTAAATTTAGGTATGATTTATGGCTCAAAACATAAAATTTGGACTTTATTCTTTGTTTTAACACAAAAAAGTATGCTCAAATCGGTTCCTTTCATGCTTTATTTTTGATTTCAAAATGGCTAACATTTTTTTATGATATTAACCAAAATTAATACTTTAAGCAAACTTTTTTCTTAAGTTTAAATGCTTATTGCATAGTTTTTTACAATATCTTTCAGAAAATATATAGTTTATTATGTTTTGTTAAGTTTAGAAGTCGAAATTTAAAAAAAAATCTTTTTTGGAGAGAAAAATTCGCTGCTTAGAAAAGTTCGAGATCATTTAAATCATTAAATACCAACAAACTATTCGATATTTTGGTACCAATTTATTGCATTTCAATTCTCCTTTAAGTTTTTGTATGATTTCCTTAACATACTTCAAGGATCAAACTTTTATTTAACTATTCTTTAACCTACAACAGACAACCTTGAACGACGCAAAATGTTTTTGCAAAAATTTCTTATTTCTATAATTAGTTGAACATGTTTTGTTTAATTCATCAATAGAATGTTATTTTAATACATTTTAGTCATTTTGCAACAAAATTCATAGTAAATTTCAACAATTTTTTGCAAAAACATTTTGCGTCGTTCAAGGTTGTCTGTTGTAGGTTAAAGAATAGTTAAATAAAAGTTTGATCCTTGAAGTATGTTAAGGAAATCATACAAAAACTTAAAGGAGAATTGAAATGCAATAAATTGGTACCAAAATATCGAATAGTTTGTTGGTATTTAATGATTTAAATTATCTCGAACTTTTCTAAGCAGCGAATTTTTCTCTCCAAAAAAGATTTTTTTTTAAATTTCGACTTCTAAACTTAACAAAACATAATAAACTATATATTTTCTGAAAGATATTGTAAAAAACTATGCAATAAGCATTTAAACTTAAGAAAAAAGTTTGCTTAAAGTATTAATTTTGGTTAATATCATAAAAAAATGTTAGCCATTTTGAAATCAAAAATAAAGCATGAAAGGAACCGATTTGAGCATACTTTTTTGTGTTAAAACAAAGAATAAAGTCCAAATTTTATGTTTTGAGCCATAAATCATACCTAAATTTAGTATAAAGCTTTTTAAAAAATTATCATAAAATCGTTTCCAAACTTTTGGACGACAGCCATTTTGAATTTTAACGGTTATTTTTGAAATACTTAATTATAGTACAAAATGTTTTTATTGAATTAAAATATAGCAAAAACTACACAGTTGGTGAAAATTTGAGCTCATTTGCTTATGTTTAAGTATGTTTATTTGATAAAATTCAAAAAAATTGACACTGTTTCTAAACTTTTGGACGCTACTGTACTTATTTGATGTGTTTTCGAGTATTCAGCACAGATTAATATCAAGTATCGAGTTTCAATTAGAAGTTCGTTAAATAAATCGACTCGTAATCAGAATCATATAGAAACTTGGTTGTTCACTTTTGTATGTTGTTTAAATATCTTAAAGGAGCTTAAAGGTATTGAAAACTTTGGATCTATTCAATATAGATAAATCCAAAAATGTACATCCATATTTAATCAGAAAACAGAATTGTATATCAGATATTTAAATTTTATTCATACTTGTTTTTTGACGAAGACAAGCTTTACATTTTTGATGCATTAATAATCTGTATAATTAGGACAAAAACTCCCAAATCAAAATCACATTAAACATGTTGCTTCATTAGAATTTCAGAGAAGTGAAAAAAAAATATTAGTCAGGGAAAAATACACGATACAATAATATCGATTCTATTGCCGCTTATGATTTTCTAATTTATTTACCTTAGCTGCCTTTGACAGCATATACTTACATGTATGACTATAAAGCACACTGAAATCATCAGTACCTGAATGGAAAATTGTGTTAAACTTCCTGTACTAGCCATTATATATATAAAGGGGCTTTAAGGATGTTAGGTAACAACTGTATTGTTGTAAGCACTGTTGATTCTCATTTGCAAAGACTCGTCTAATGATTAAAGGAATAAAGCAAAATCTGGTGGTTTCTAAATTTTTAAATCGATTATACAATTTTGAATGTAGTTTAAGTGTCTAAACTGCGCGTTTCGCACTATCTATAGACCTTTAAACTTTTATTTTAACCACAGTTGATTAGGATGTGCGGATATGAAATTATTTTTATCGCAAATGCGTTAAATTAATAGATAATCATTGGAAAAAATCAGTTGAAGTATCTACGTGACTGAATATTTATAAATAAATTTTAATGTCGATGATAGGCAGTAGGCAGTAAAGATGAAGGAAAAAGAGGACCTCAAAATGATATCAATATAAATGTTGATGCTACATAAAAGTCTATCTTTTATATATTATTTTAATCTGGCATCTCTTTTTGATTTTTTTCCAATAAATATATTTCTTTTTTCATGTTTAACGTCATCAGTAGTCGTAAGTCGAAGCTCTACATATCCTCATATCACTCGCATATGTTTGGTAGATTGATGTGTATATAAAATATTAAGAAATGTCGAAAAATATGTGATGTGAAAGATGTAATAAATGAAAAAATAATAATAATATATAAACTTTGATATTGATGCAAAAAGAAAAGTGAAGGAAAAAAATAAATTTTGGATATTAAAGAAAAGAGAGAACTGAAGAAAGTGTAAGGTACTTAAAAGGTTTCTATCCGAATGACAGCGTTAAAAGGATTAAAATTTGGATTGGAAGTGTTGTCTAAAGTATGGTTTTTGTATCTGGAAACGCTATGAAATTATCATCCCAATTATCGCCGGATGATGAGCCAATTGAGCAAAAATTAAACGTAAATATACCAAAATCACCTTCGTTTCATAGCGGTTTGGACTTAGTCGCTGGAAATAAATACGTAAACATATCAAAATTTAATTTCACAAACGATATGAATGGAAATAATAATAAAACGACCGCTGCTGAGCAGCAATCAAGTCAGCAAACAATTTTTTCATTCACAAAGGTCAGTTTGTGTGGTTCATTAATTGCCTTCATCATTTAAATACGGTCCATTTCTTCTCTATTTCTTATGACGACAAACAGTTCTTTACACAATCAAATCCACTGAATAATTTAAATATAACAAGCAGTATCGTCCCTCCACTGCTTCAAAGGCAGAATTCTGCACCGCAAAATCAACAACAACAGCAGCATCAGCAACAAGCAACTCAATATAATGATATTTACAAGATAAATAATGTAAATAAGCCTCCAATGACATCTTCATCAGGCCAGCCAGATTTACAGAGGAAATATTCATTGCCAGTTAATTCGAAACCGATGCATCCAATGATTCCAACGCCTCACAATTTGGCACAACAATTTCATCCACCACCAAATATCGTCCGTAAACAATCAGCACCAGCAATTACGCCATCTCAATCTGTCCTACAATCACAGTCACAGATTCAACAAGGAAGTCCGAGTCGTGCAAGAGATCGCAATTTATTTGATAAAGTGTGCTTGAGTCAAGATGTAACTCAATTGCCGCTCCTGAAAGGTTGCTCACTTTCTAATCATTTAGAATTTACAATTTCTCACTTATTTCCTTATTTTTACCTTTGGGGAGGGTTTTGTGTACCGAAAAATTGATGAAAATGCCTTAATGTCCTTATTCTTTTCCACAGAAACTGATGCCAACGAACGTGAAGACTTGTTCATTAAGAAAATTCGTCAGTGCTGCGTATTGTATGACTTTACCGAGCCTCTCGACGACTTGAAATGGAAAGAGATGAAACGAAATGCACTGCAGGAAATGGTAGAATATATTAATAATAATAATGGTGTAATAACAGAAGCTGTTTATCCTGAAATGATACAAATGGTAAGTACAGCTGCTTTATAGATCTTCAAGCATCACTTATGTCTATATTTCCATTCGACAACAGTTTGCAATTAATCTCTTCCGAACATTACCACCACCAAGTAATCCAAGTGGGGCTGAATTTGATCCCGAAGAGGATGAACCGACACTCGAGTCATCGTGGCCTCATCTGCAGATTGTTTATGAGCTGTTTTTACGCTTCTTAGAATCGCCAGATTTTCAACCAAATGTCGCAAAACGTCACATTGATAGTCAGTTTGTATTGAGATGTCTTGATCTCTTCGATTCCGAAGATCCACGTGAACGTGACTTCCTCAAAACGGTCTTGCACCGCATTTATGGAAAGTTTTTGGGACTTCGAGCATTTGTTAGAAAACAAATCAATAATGTATTTTATAGGTAAGAGCTATTGTCTTTATGATGTTATAGCATTTTGATCTTATCGTAATTTTTTTTCCCATTACTTCCACATCAAATAAACTATCGTTGTAGGTTTGTTTACGAGACAGAACATCATAATGGAGTTGCAGAACTTTTAGAAATTCTCGGATCAATTATTAATGGTTTTGCACTGCCATTAAAGGAGGAACATAAAGCGTTTTTGTTGAAGGCATTGTTGCCATTACATAAAGTCAAAAGTCTATCCGTGTATCATCCGCAGTTAGCTTATTGTGTTGTACAGTTCCTTGAAAAAGATCCAAGTCTGACGGAGCCTGTTATTAAGTAAGTCACATTAAACATTTGCAAGTTATAGAGCACTTAGCGCATGAAAGATGAACTAGTCAGTTTAAATTGCATTAAGTTAATTAATTCACACAGTTTAGACTGCCTTAATTACGCAAAAAGCTTTCTAAACTTTCTAGCTCTCGACTTTTGACTTCCACAGTCTAGAGAACAAATGAATACATTAAGCTCTTCTTATTTTTCGTTTAAAATTGCTATAAAATCATCATTCTTTATATAATTACAGAGGTTTATTGAAATTTTGGCCGAAAACTCATAGTCCAAAAGAAGTCATGTTCCTCAATGAATTAGAAGAGATTCTTGACGTCATCGAGCCAGCTGAGTTTCAGAAAGTGATGGTGCCACTATTCACACAAATTGCAAAATGTGTAAGCTCTCCACACTTCCAGGTCGCTGAGCGAGCTTTATATTATTGGAATAATGACTATATCATGTCCCTCATAACTGAAAATTCATCAGTCATTCTACCGATTATGTTTCCCGCTCTTTACAACAACTCAAAAACACATTGGAATAAAACAATTCATGGGTAAATAATCATACATAAATAATTGAATTGTAGAGTATCGGTTACGTCTGCATGAACATTCTTTTTTTCTTCTTTGAATTTCTTTTCTTTCTCATTTTGCTAATTACCTAGGCTTATCTATAATGCCATTAAGTTATTTATGGAAATGAATCATAAGCTCTTCGACGAATGCAATAGCAAGTTTAAGAATGAAAGACAATTGTAAGTATATGTTCTTTGTGTAACTTGATGCTAGACTTGAAATACTACTGGATTTAAATTTTAAATCTGGTGATTTAATTTTTAATCCAGCGGGTTAAACGTTTTGAAAGTGATTTAAATTTTTGAAAACCGTTAAAAATCACTAATTTACTATTTCATAAAATAATTTGCAGAGAAACAGAACTTTATGCAAAGCGAGAAGAGGTATGGAAGGAGATCGAAGAACTGGCACGGAAAAACAATCCGAAATTCGAGAGTCTAATAAATCAAATGGAGTTCCTGTCAATCTCCAATCAGAACAACAACGATTACAATCTTAATGAGGATGACTACGCGAATGAAAAATATGACCAATATTCAAAAGATGTAAGAAGAATCTTTTAAAAATAATTAATTGCAAAAATTAGTAATGATAAGACGCTGCAAATCTAGGTTTTTCCTTAATTGTAAATGTTTGAAAAAAAAATGTTTTCCTTCAAGGCTCGCAATTTGCGCAACATGGACAAGCCTTTGTTAAGAAAGAAATCGGAATTGCCGCAAGATTCTGGAGTTGCAAAAGCGCTTACTAATTATAAACGTGCTGATGAATTTCTCAAAACAACACCCGATACAAATAAATGCTAGAAAATAATCTAGACAGCAACAATAATAAATTATAGATATAAAGAACATTACTAACAATTATCCTCTCAACTTATGAAATATCTCAAATTTTTTTCTCCATCCTTTCAAATTCGTGTTCAACCTCATCTTTTTACAATACATTACAATAACTTCTTTTTGCATAGGAAACATGTTAACTGTAGATAATGCGAAAATGATTTTAATTATTATTTTGTCTTCTGTATTTTTTAGTCATCATAAAAGAATTGTGGCGCACATGTTTTCTATTTCTATACATGATTATTATAAATATTTTAAAAATATAATGACGATGATGAAGAATCGCAATCTAGTAATGGGGATAAACTTTGTCTATATGGTGAATGATGTTAAATAAAAAATCTACTTTGATAAATTTATAACAGAGGAAGCATAAGTAAGCATAAATAAATGAACATAGTAATTGTGATGTCGTGAATATTATAAAAAAAAATAGATTTATAAAGTAAAATAATCATTTAAAGTATACTGGGCATTGATGCTGTTTTGTGAGATACATGCAAAGTTCTTTCGGTAGGGTTGGACATAAATAATGGTCTTCAGGAATATTTTATACAGAACAATATATAAATCTGCTGGAAAACGTTAAATGAGCTGGTTTCTGATTTTAACGGTTTATTGAAATTCAAATTTTAGCCAGTTGAATTTTCAAAAAAATAATTTTTAACTGCTTTTTGCAAAAGAAATTCCTGAAGACTTCAAATGTCACTAATGGCTTATAATATATCCATAGAAGCATAATTTTAATGCATGATGGATTATTTATGAAAGCTTGATATTAAATAACGATTAAAGACAATTGTTGAGAAAAAGTCTCATGAGCAACAAAGGTGAAATCGTAGGCGAGACTTTAGGGATGCATTAAAGGTTCTGAAGAAATCCTACCAGTAACTTTGCATACTTTTTAATGAGGCTTCAGCACTGATTAAAGATTTTTTTTTAAAAAAAGCGAGAAAGATGTAGATGAGTGCATTGACTTTTTACAAAATATCGACAATTTTTGTACATGTGATGCCCCGAAATTCATGATCATTATTATTAAACATTATATACAAAAATTATTAAAACTATCTAGGATATCAACAAAGAGAAGAAAGCATTTTAATTAAGTACATAACCGTAACTCATTTGTCAGAAATCATCATTAATATTATATACTAATGATTGGTTTGCTTATCATTTTTTAAAGTTTTTTCTTTATTAATTACCTGTTTATGAATATTATTATCATGTAAGAGAACTCTTTCCATATTTTATTTTTCTCTGTCTTTTAATGTCCTCTCTTGTTCCAATTATGATTTACACATGAAAAGTTTAGTAATTTATATGATAATTTGCAAGCTATTGAATTTCCAAAAATTATGTCCAACTTAGGGTCATTCTCAAATGAGGTTTTGATCTGGAGTCGTTTTTAAATCATAAGAGAGTTGGTTGATCTAATAAACGACTTCTTACTTGCTAGATGTCATAAGTTAATGATCCTAATCTACATCATCAATAAATAAAAAGTTCGACTTTAAAGATAACTCTGAACGACTGACAACCTTGTTGATAAATCCAGTTTAAATAAAAATAATTGAAAGTCATCATCAAAAAAAAAGAAAGAATTATCTTTGATATAAATAAGCATAAATAATCAATAGTGATTACACGTTAAAAAGGAATGAAAAGATGCTTTTTTAGACAAAGCGAATGAGGAACAATAAAAAGGTTAATGGTCTAACTTAAATAGCTCATAATTATGTGAATACAAACAAAGAAGTAAAATCATGTAAAGAATGGTACATTAATTATTTATAAAATTAATTATAGATGTTCAAAAAAAAAAACTTTTAAATCAACTTAAAGGGTTTCTGGTGTCTGTTTATGGCTGGATGAAAGTTCATCTTATTAAATTTATTTATTATCTGTTGGATTAGTTTGAGTTTGAGACATCATTCAGAATTAATTACTTTTCTAGAAATGAAAAGTTTTGGAATCATCAAATGCTTAAGATCTAAACATGATCTGGCAGAGTTATGAAGGCTTCAAGTATCAAAATTCAAAGTTTGAGTATCAAGAGTTTTAGAGTTTTTCCGAACAAAATCAGTTTAGTTCACCATTTCCTATCATATTATTGATTTTTCAATAGTTTAGAACTAGAACTTGTGAATCAAGCTAGTTAAAAGATGTTTAAACTAACGGAAAGTACGAATTTTTAAGTTTTAACATTTTGAATGTGTCAGATATTTTGAACTGAAAAGTGACTATTAAATTGTCTCCATTTTGTTATAAAATAAGGCTTCTATTCATAACTATTTGGACTAGATTAACCAACAGGATGAAGTATTTTAAAGCTTTTAGTTCCTTGATTTTAAAAGAAGCTACTCATATGTTCTGACTTTGCATTAAAATTGTTTTCATCATTGCTAGTCTAGCTAGCTTTCCCAGATCCAAAGCTTTTCCAGATTTCAATAACTTTAGAGATTTATCTGCCTTCAAATTCCAAATTAATCAAACAGACAATCTCAAATTTCAGATAATGATCATCCGCCTTAATGAAATCAACTCTTAAGTTCTTCCTCAAAACCGAAACTGGAATGATATGAAAAAGAAAGTAAAAATCCGTGTAGAGTCGGATGAAGCCACAAAATATTTGTATGTTTATATATATCAAGAGATACAAGAATCAACTTTTATGAAAAGAATAGAATGGAAATCATTGATAATCGCCTTATGCCTGTTTGTTCTTTTAATTCTTTATTTTTTTTATCTTCTGTTAAAACAAGTTTAAAATGATATGATATGAAATATGGCGAGAAAAAAAAATATTTTTAATAACATGCAAATGTTATAATCTAGAGTTAAAGCTTTAAAGTAAATATAAAAAATGATTATTTAACATTATTATTATTATTATTATCTGCATCTACATAATAGATATTTCTATTGTCAGAAAAAGAATAGAAAGATGAAGATGTGTTGCGGGGGGTTAGTATTGAGTGATGTTAAAGGCTGATTTGTAGTTTGGGAACTGAGATGTTATTTTGAAAGGATATTCGTTTAATATCTTAGATATTATATCTTAAGTCAAAACATTATTAATTATAAATTTTAAGTTAAAGATGTTTGGTCTAGCATAATATCAAGTTTGATCATAGATATTGAGCGAATCTGTGTCAAATCGATAAGTTTGGGATCCAATTGCTGTCATAACAAACAAGATTGCTACATATGACTGGTTTTGCCTACCTGACAAGTCGATCATCAAGGCTTAAAGATTATTCAAACTCTGAATCAACACCAGACTCAATTATCTTTCACAATTGATATTAAAAAGACTTCCAAATTTCTTAATAATGTCGAGGAACTTCTAATTTGAGCCAAACTCTAATCTTGAATATCTAAACAATCAGACATCCTTTAAAAATCACATCACAGTATAATTCAATTTATAGTTTTAACATCACTTAATGTATCCCACTCAGACTTCCTCTTTTCCGAAAAAAATAAAAATAATTGACTTTTGATAGATTTAATTTATCATTCCTCCAATTCCTCTATATTTGGTCATCATGGCACAAATGAAAAATAATGAAATGAGATAAAATTGTCATTAACTTTTTGTCTGGAAGGATGAATCGTACTTTGAACTACTTCTATTGATAATAAAAAAAGCCTGTTTATATATTAAAGAAATACAATGATTATTAAAAAAAAAATTAAGTTTGTTTCATTCATTCTTGTCCTTTATTGATCCAATTATTATTATTATTTTAATGTTTTGTAGTTTACAGCATCCAATCAATCATTTTTAAGAAATTCTGTGTGTAGGTATGCAATAGAAATCATTTTGTCAAATTTTTAACGTGAGCTGCTACGTGACGAATTTGAGCGACGACGACGAATTGGACTTCTGCTTCTGTAAAATGTATGGTTGTTTGTAGAACAAATTGATTTTTTAAATGCATTTTTAAGGTCCGTTGTTAGATAACGCCCATCTGTTGGACGTGAAAAGTTTTTGGACTTTATAAATTATTAAATTTTTCAATCTTACCTGCGACGTGGAGAGCGTCTAATTGGTGAACGACGTCTATTATTGTTACGCATATCCCTCCAGCGATTACGATTTGGTGGACCTCCTCTTCGCATTGGTGATCGTCTCATTTGAGGTGGTTTTGGATTATTTACTGGCGAAACCTATGAAAATTACCCAATTTTAGTATACAAGAAAGTTATAAGTATAGGATTAATAGCTTACAGCAACTTCGTTTCCATCAATCTGTCCACCATCCATATGTTTCATTGCATTTTCAGCATCATCAGAATTCATAAATTCAATATAGCAAAAACCACGTCCAAGTTGTGGATGAAAACGATCTGGTGGAAAGTCGACAACCTTAATCTCTCCATAGTTACTGAATATTTCAATAATATGTTCCTTAGTGACATTACGTGTTAATCTCCCGACATGACATCTTGTTGGTTTTGGAGTAAGTGAACGAGCTTTTCTGCGTTGAGAAATTGATCGAGAACGTTTTCTGCGTTGTGAGATTGAACGAGATCTCTTCCGGCGTGGAGACACTGAATGACTACGTGATCTAGATCTACGCTTTTCATCCCGATCTCTTTCAGTACTTTGACGTGCACGTTCGCGGGATTTGGGTCTTTCTTTTGCATCCCTTTCTTTTGAGTCAGCTTTTCTTACACTACGACTTTTTGAACGTGAAGGACGTCTTTTACGTCTATCACCACCACTACTTGATGAGCTGGATGTCGACGAGCTCGAACTGGATGATGAACTTCCACTGCTTGACGAGCTATCAGAACTAGATTTAAACTATCAAATATAAAGGCAATGTTAAGTTAATGTTATGCTTTACCTATTGGAACTGCTTGATGCTGATCGCCGCTTTGTTGATTTCTCTTCCTTTTCACTGCGCGACTTTTCTACCACCATTTTTAATTTTATCGATTTTCTCAAGTTATTTCAATTAATTTCTTCAATATTTATCTTTATTAATCTTTATCGGCTCTTCTTCTCGCGAAGAAACTAGTTAATTAACTTGTGTTTTGTCTATTTACCACAATATTCAATAAAAAAGTTTTAAAAGAAAATTTTAATGTTTATGAATGTGTTTTGAAATAAACATATAAGCTTTTATCATTGTGTTTTGAATCAATCAGCCATACTTTTATGCTCATTTTTGTGGATTTTAAGGTCCTTTGAATAAATTAAACAGCTTGAAATCAAAATGACAGGTCAATAAACACACTCTTATAGTCGAGAAATAATCATAGCCTATTTTATGCTTCAGTTTTAAAGATAGATTAACGGTTGTTAAAAATTCAAAATTTCATGTTTATTTTTTAAACGTTTGTCAACAAAAAAGGTATGGAACTTTCGAAATGATTAAATTGCTATAATTAACAGCTTTTTGGCAATTCTAGATATAGGAAAAGCTTATTAAACATGGGAAAGATCACAGAGTTATCATCCAGTGAGAATCAAACTCAGAATGCAAGAACTTTTGTCATAGAAAATGAAGGAAACACTTTAGGCAACGTCCTCAAGAACATTATAGCTAATTATTCCGAAGTTGAGTTTTGTGGATATACAGTACCTCATCCACAAGAAAGTAAGATCCATTTTAGAATCCAGACAGCAGACAACATTAAGGCAATTGATATTTTGAGACGAGGCTTAAAAGATCTGGAATTCATATGCGATGAAGTAATAGCAGCATCTTCATCACTCGACAGCTTGTAAATTATTATTTATTAAGAAACAATTATGTATTTAAAGGTTTAAAATATTAAATATTTTATTAGAGAAAATAAATTACATCTTTTATATGCTGTAAAATCTAAAACATCTAAAGATATACCTACTTGAATTTTTAAAAAAAGATTAATGGATATGAGTGGACTTATGGATAATGAATAGTACGATGCGATGACTAAGGATATAAATGGACAAAATTGGTGCATGGAATGTGATTTAACTTAATTAATGACTTGTATAAACTCTTTTTGTTATTTTTTTTTGTAAAGCTAGATATAGAGGAACATGAATACATGCAAGCGGTAACCAGTCTATAAAATGTGTAACAACCATTTTAGAATCGTCATGCACTCGGATCACATCTAAACTGCTGGAATATATCTTCTAATGTTGTCTCGTTTATAGCAAAGCTATCGATTGCATTCTCATGGTCATTTGAGAATTCGAGCAGATCTTGAAATACTTTGGCCCAGCTTATGCTCTTTGCGTGGATGAAATATTGAAGTACTCCCTGGAATTAAATATGTTAGATAATTTTTTTTTAAAATTTTAGGAGTGCCTTACTTCATGCTCATCCTTGAGATCACAAGTAAAGAGAGAGTTTAGTTGAAGCTTGATGTCAGTAACACTCTCGACTATTGAAGGAGATGAGTCTGTTAAATCTTGTACGTGCTCACGATTCTTGTCATTTTCTTGCGGGACATTTGGTTTCATTTTTATCATCAATGAAAATCCTTTTCCATACTTTTCCTTCAATTTTTGGATATATCCAATGCACTTTAATTCTCCATTCTTCATGATTCCTAGTCTATTACATAAAACTTCACATTCATCCATAGAATGAGAGCATAACACAAGTGTTCTCTGTTGATTTTGAATAGATTTAATGCAGCTCCAAACAAAACGTCTTGACTTTGGATCGACTCCAGTTGTTGGTCTGTAAAGTTAATTAATTAATTTACAAATAAACTACTATAAAGTATTTCTGCCTTACTCATCCAAGAAAGTAACATAAGGATCAGCGATCATTGCCATGACTGTATTTAATTTCCGTTTAGTTCCTCCACTGTAACTGCTAATTCTTTTATCACGATATTTTTCAATATCAACCTTTCTTAGCCACTTTTCAACTTGCAGATCAAGATCATAGCGACTGTATCCATTGATCATAAGCATGTATTTCAAAATTTCTCTCGATGTCATGTAGTCACATAAAGCATCAACTTGTGGACAATATCCGAACATGTGTCGATACATAAAACTGTCTTTGTCTGCATCTATTCCATTTATGAAAGTCCTACCGCTTGTTTTTGGGCGATTTAAAGTCAACAATTCGAATGCTGTTGTTTTTCCAGCACCATTCACTATAGACATAAAATTAATTAATTAATACAAGTTTAACGGTTATTTAAAAATTTAAATTCTAGCAATTTTCAAAAATTCAAAACTGAACGGTTTTCAAAATTTTAAAAATATTTACGGGTTTCAAAAAAAGGTTTTCAAAATTTGAAACAATAAACGTTTTTCAAAAAAAAGACTATAAACTACTGAAAGACTTACTTCCAAGCAATCCAAAGCACTCTCCTTTCTTAACAGTAAAACTAACATCCTGTACAGCCTTAAAATTTCCACCATAAACTTTTTCAAGCTGTGAAACAACCACAGCATCTTGTTCCAACTTTTCTTCTCTGATAATTTCACACACGCTATTTTTCTCACATCTCACATCGGGATCCTCAATTTCATCCATGGGAATATTTTCGATTGCCTTTTGATTCTTGTCCTTTTCGATGCAAACACACATGTGCACACGTGAACAGAAATATCCAAATTGTTCCATCAATTGCTGATTTTCAATAAAGTAAAACAGGAAGAGGAAGGAAGCAATAAAAACAATGAAATTTGCGACATAAAATTGAGTAAGGTTAAAAATGTCTTGATAATCATAAAGGCTATTTATGTAGATATCCGAGTCTTTTGTATTTCCAACTTTTTCATGATTCCTCTCGAATTTGTGGTGTTCATGAATCACTTTTAATGAATGCTTAAGGGCAAAGTCAGGCAGTATATGAAACATTGATATCATCGAATCATATTCCTTCATCGATTCCTTGCTATTTGACATTATGATGATTCCAAACAGTGAAAATATTTGCAGATAATTTAAAAACATTATGGAACTACTTAAACTGCTAAAACATTGACTTGTTATGTAGACAATTACTAAGCATGTTGCACCATATATGAAGAATAAGAAAGCAATTGATTCCAATTCATTGCCACTAAAAGCTAGGCCTTCACGATCATAAGTAGTCACCATCATTATAATTAATACGACGATAGCATGAACAAGTAAGTCACTCAAGAATAAAGCAGTCCAATAAATCACACTTGGAATATTTTGAAGGCTCTTAAATCCACTTATCTTTTCCTTAAATGTAAACGGAAGATACATTATCATGTAGAGCATTAATCCAATCGCCACAAATTCTGTATAAAGATTCTGAATATAATTCAAGTTCTCATCTTGTCGGTTCAATGGACTATTTGTAATTTCGATTGAATATTTTGGATATTTATGCTTCAACATAACATTATCTACAAAATTGAGCATTAAGGATACAGAATGAATGAGATTTTGCGAATAATAAATTTTAGCAAGGATTTGGTTATTTTCAGCATTCAATTCAAAGTTGACTGCTCCAATAAGATTATCATAATATTTAAGGACGTTTCCGTCAGCGACTTCTAGTATCTCTTGTTCGATATTCTTGTCTCTAAGTATAGCAACTTTAATCTTCTGTTGCTCACTAAAATGTCCAATAATTTCCTCAATTTGTCTCAATTCTTGACTCTTGAAATTCTCTTTAAAGTTCACAAGCATTAATGGCTCATTAATGTCTTCAAATTGAAGTTTCAAAGCGACGTGAGTCTTATCTGCAAGATATGTATTAAGGACAAAGCACAGACCAGTCATAATGATTGGAATTGCAACCATTGTACAGAAAAATGGTAAATTACGCATCCAGTAAATAAATTTCTTATAAAATATAGCTTGAAACTGACGGAAAAATATTAATCGTCTGTTGATATCCTTGTATAAATCATCAATATTCAGCACTTGATAAGAATTGTCAGTCTCGTCCGATTCATCACCCCTTCCATCGATTTTTGTATTTCCACCTGATGCTGAATTAAGGAAAACTTCTTCAAGTGTCGTATTTGTTATAGACAAAGACTCAATTCCGTACAACGACTTGTTAACTTCTAATTCTTGAAGCATTTCTCCATATTTATGTTTATCCTTGTACGGTAATGTCATACAATAAAGTGGCTCTACACTGCTCTTTTGTTCAGCCGAAGGAATATGTCTTTTTATCGTGTTGTGCACACTAGTTCTGTCAAATTTATTCTCGCCCATGTTTTTAAGCAGCTTTAAAGTATATCCACTTCCGAAATAATGTTTTAAAAACATGCTCGTTCCGTAGGCAATTAACTCTCCATTTTCCATTATCGCGATTTTATCGGATAGCACATCAGCCTATAATGAATGGAAAATTAAGAATTAACTTTGTAAAAATTCAAAAAATAACCGTTTTCAGAATTTTAAATTTCCTTCCAAAAAACTGAAGCAAGTTTAAAATATGAAAAATAACGGATTTTGAAGTTTAAAATTTGATAAGCATAAAATTTAAATTTTAAAATAACGTTTTTTCATAGCCACTTACTTCTTCCATAAAATGTGTGGATATAAAGATAGTATGGTCCTTTTTGAGTTTTAATAAGATATTCCAGATATCTCTTCTAGCTTCTGGATCTAATCCACTTGAAATTTCGTCTAGTATAAGTAGTTTAGTATCACCAATAATGGCATTTGCTAAATTTAATTTTCTTAGCATGCCGCCAGACAACCTTTTAGCGACTTCATTAGCCTTTGTGGATAAATTAACTTTCTTTAAGATATTTGAAGCTTCTATCTCAGCATTTTGTCTTGAAAGTCCTCTAAGTTGACCGAAAAATTCTAAATGTTCCTTACAAGTCAGATATGGTAAGCTGATATTATGTTGTGGACAGTATCCAATTTTTGATCGATAGAACTGAATATTGTCTATGTTATTAACATAAATTTGTCCACCTGTTTTGGGAATTAATCCTGTCAGCATGCACATTGTTGATGTTTTACCTGCAGAATACAAAATTTCATTATCATTCCTGAATTATAAATTAAGTCATTGTTACGAACCTGCTCCGTTATGTCCCAAAAGAACAGTTATTTGGTTCTTATAAATGTCCATTGATAAATTCTTGACGACTGTATTTGAATCTCCACACCAAGTCTTATAAGTCTTTGTCAAATGTCTAATTCTAACGACAGCATTTTGATTCAAGTGCTGAAAGTTCTCAAAGCCATTAGAAGTATAATTTAGTGCCTGAACTTCGCTATGGACATCAATTTTGTTTGGTACGTAATATGATTTTTGGAAAATGAAAAATGGACTTTGACGAATGCCATACTGTCCTGGACATACGTTTGATATGTAAAAGTATAAAAAGACACAAAGTGCTGATGAAATAATAAGCCAGAAAGACACATCAATCATTGAAAATATGCCGTCATTTGGATGATGAAGCTGTGCTAAATTGGAATGACTGAAGTAATGTCCAGAATTTGTATAATCATGAAATATTAGAATGCCTTGATAAAAAGCATTAACAGGAAACATAATTAAAATCTTCTTCCACTGAACTGTTGCTAATTGGAAACAGAAGAATGGTACAAAATACCAAAAAACAGCACCGACCGTTGAAAATGCAACTATAAATAGAAGTTTAATCATAAGAATCAGATGACAAAAAGCATAAATCATGAAATTGACTCACTTGACTCAAAGAATGCGCTGACTAAGAATGTGAATGAGACGATCGATGTTATGTAAATAAACATTAATAATACTGGATAAAAGAAGTTTATGTTGATCCAAATGCCTTTAAAATATGTGATGACTAAACAGATGAAGAAAAGCATAAAGATCTGTAGATGATTGACGGAAAACAGAGCAACGTTATTTAAAGAGCTGTATGGTGTAGCATTTTTTAATTGTTCTCGAAATCCGCATGCCTTCTCTTCAACAATGCGTGTGAATATCAATGCTATGCATGTCAGCGATGAAAATAGAATGAAAAATATTCCCAAACTGTCAATTTTTGATGCCACTGGATCTTGTGGAATCGATGGAATTCTTTCAAACTGAACGACATAAGGTAAAATATTTCCAGATTGAGCAAGAAGTTCGTAAAATGTTGAATCTAGTGCATATTGAATGCCCAAGAATCCATAATTTACGTACTCGTTTGTAACTTTTGATGTTATGGATGACAAGTCCTTTGAATATTGTCGATCAGTTAGGAACTTGTTGCTTTTTGACTTTATTGTATAATCCAGCACAGAACCATTGCCATGAAATACAACTATGAATGAACGAGATCCCAGATCCTCGATATGGTTCCAAATGTCATCTTCAGACTTAAATCCAGTGATTCTTTCATCTTGTGCCTCAATTTTAAGGCGAAATCGTTCCATCAGTTCTCTATAATACGTATCATTTGGTACAAAATATATTTTGTCGTCAATAGCTTGTGGTATATTCGCAATGAGCTCATCCTAAAGACATAAACAAAGAAAATGAGTTAGACTTATAGACAGGAAGTCAGTAAGACGTGAATAAATTTATAAACAAGTCAGTCACACATTATTGACTTTACTGGATGTACACTACTTACTTCGTTTATGGGAACATAAGTTCTGGTCAGTGACGAATTGTGGTTTAATGACGTCGTATCCGAGAAAAGATAAATTAAGATGAAGAATAATGGGAAAACGATGAAAAATAAATTTCTGGCCCAAAAATAGCTTTTTTCCTTTAATGTTTTGACTAGAAAGACTTTATATGTGGTCACTATATCCATGTTTATATGCTTAATCACTTAAAAAAGTAAAGATTTATTAAGAACTTTCCCTTGTACCGTTAATTAAATTTTATGAAAACTTTCAATTGTCTTTTTGTCTCATTTGTTAATGTCACTTTTATCGATTACTATGTTATCTTGTGCTCTATCGATGCACAAAGACATGTCCAACACTATGCATTGATTGCATGACTCTAACTTTAAAGATAAACATCATTTTAATTATTTTGCAACTTTTAATTCCTGTTTTTTTTTAATGAGAATAGGGATTTCAAATTACCGACTATTTACTTTTCGATCATATTTTTGGGAACTACAGATTCTATATTAAGTAAATATCCACTGGATTCATCTAGATCAAAATCATAGTATTACACCATAGAGCATAAGATACAGCATAAGGATTTATAAAAGATTCACGGAAAGTTTGAAATTGAAACCCCTAAAGTTTATAGTGCGTTTTTCACAGTCAGGTATAAGCTGCATCGCAGAACATAAACAATCTGTCAAAATAATTAAATATTTTGGGTATGGGCGATCAATACGAGGAATATACAACACCAGATGGACAGAACATCACGTATATACAGTATATCCATCCAAATGATGGACAAGCAGAGCAAATTAACTTTATTATCCCAAATAATCACATTTTAAAGCAAGAACAAAATGATCCAGAAATATTGGAAGAAACTTTTGAAGAATACATTGATATGTCTGAGGATAATAATATAATGGCAGTAGAAGTGCTCGAGTCAGTTGTTAATATAGGAAAGAAAGGATTTCAAGTGAAGGAGGAAAGCTTAACAAGAGAGCTTGTCCAAATATCTGATTCCAACAAGGTAACATTGTTTTTGTATCAACATTTTCTATTCTGGATCTTTATTTTATCTTTTGAATATAGCCAAAAGGAAGGAAGCGCTTAATAGCAGATCAGACTAGAGCTATTAGAAAGTTGAGAGCAAATACAAACAAGCCGTACATCAATGCAAAAGGAAGAGAAGTGACGCCAAAAGCCTTTGATGACAGCTTTGTATGTACATGTCCAAAAAAATGCACAGATCCTAAAAAGCTGACATTCAAAGTTCGCAAGCAAATCTTCAATATGTTCTGGAGTATTGGTTCATATGAAGGTCGATGTGCTTTCCTGAATTCCTGTGTTAATGAAGCTCCCAAAAAGAAGCAATACACTAAAGCTGAGAATAGTCGTCGAAAAAATACTCGTCGTTACTTTCTTAAAGGCGTCGAAGTCTGTAAATTGACATTCACAAAGACCCTACAAATTTCAAACTCAAGAATTGACGTGTCTCTTGCTAAAATGGAAAATGAAGTAAGTCTACATAGATTCTATAGTGCTGTTAACTTATTAATCATGTATTAATTGCAGAGCTTTAATGATGAACGAGGCAAAAAGAAGCGTAGAAAGCACGGATTTGGAGAAGAAACGCAAAACGCTGTTATTGAGCACATAAAGAATAACTTTAATTCAGATACAAGTTTGCGTGGTTTATGGAATGCCTATCAAACTACGCATGAAGATATACCCGTATCAGAAAGCTATTATAAGAGTAAGTTCCATTAAATCTTAAAATAAGAAAAACGTAGTAAAATGTCCCGTGATTTAACTTTTTTACGTTTTAGGAATTTTTTATGAGAACTTCAACTTGAAGGTACGAAAGATATCAAAGATTAAGGAGGAATTGGATGATATTGATGACTCTGATTAAATTGAATAATGTTTAACTTAGCTAATGTTGCCTTTGTATCAGAATTAATTTTAACGGAAATAAAAAAATTGAATTAAGTTGCTCAATCATCTTTTTGGTCCGTGAATCGGCTTCTTCGTATTTTAATTAATTAAAGCATAATTTGACCATCTTTCAACATTAAATCCGTGTAGACTGATAGTCCGCGGATAAAGGAACACGATTAAAGTCAAGTATAGTCAAATAATATTCAGGAATAGGTAATTTAAGACATTTTTAAACTTTTTTTTACCACACCCGGTTTTTAATGACTCATTTTTGCACTTGATATAAAGGAATTAATCAGAGCTAGATAAGAGTTATGACTGAAAAGTATTTCTTTGGTGGAAGCGTTAATCCAATAACTTGCCACGCTTGGAACAAAGACCGTTCTCAAATTGCAATTTCGCCAAACAACAATGAAGTCCATATTTATCAACGAGAAGGCAATGACTGGAAGGTAAAAAATATAATTCTATTCTAATGACCAAATTTTACTGTATTATTCTATTTTAAAGTTGATGGACATCCTTAATCAGCATGATTTAAAAGTCATGGGGATAGATTGGGCACCAAATACTAATCGTATCGTCACTTGCTCAGTCGATAGAAACGCTTATGTCTGGACTCAAGGAGAAGACAATAAATGGAAGCCAGCATTAGTTTTGTTGAGAATCAATCGAGCTGCAACTTGTGTAAAATGGTCTCCGTGTGAGAATAAATTTGCTTGTGGATCTGGAGCTCGTTTAATTAGTGTGTGCTATTTTGAGAGCGAAAATGATTGGTGGGTTTCGAAGCATATTAAGAAGCCCATAAGAAGTACTGTAACAACATTAGATTGGCATCCAAATAGCGTCCTTCTTGTCGCTGGTTCAACTGATTATAAAGTTCGTATTTTCAGTGCATACATTAAAGACATTGAGAAACAACCAACACCAACTGCTTGGGGCAAAAAGATGACGCTTGGACAACTTATGGCTGAATTTAAGAATTCAACAACGGGTGGTGGCTGGGTTCATTCTGTTAATTTTTCAGCCGATGGCAATAAAGTCTGTTGGGTTGGACATGATTCAGCGATTAATTGTGTTGACGTCAATACTGGATTAACAGTTGTCAAATTGAAAACTGAGTATTTGCCATTCTTGAGCTGCATTTGGATAACACCAATGACATTTATTGTCGCTGGACATAGCTGCATTCCATTAATTTATTCCTTTGACGGAACCAGTATTACATTTGTTGGCAAGTTAGATGAATCACAGAAACGTGAAGCAAGTGGAGTTTCAGCAATGCGTCACTTTCAGTCTCTGGACAGAAACTCTCGTTTGGAAAGTACTGATACAGTTTTAGATTGCATCCATCAAAATGCCATTAGTTGGGTTGCAATTCAAAGTGGAACTAAGGAGCACACAACTAAAATCAGCACATCAGGATTGGATGGACAACTTGTCATCTGGGATTTAACATTGACTCGTTCGATGCAAAACTTGAAAATTTGAATTACAATTTTTATTGTGGCTGTTTGTGGATGAAAAAAAAAAGCAATTAAAGTTCTATAATCATACATTGAATTCTTTTATTTCCATCTCATGGGATTTTGTTTTTTGTTTTGTTTTTCATTCACATACAAAAAAACTTTTTCTTTATCTTAATCAATCAAAATAAAATGAAAAAGTTCATCATGAATCATTTAGGTATATTCTTCTTTTTTTTTGTCTACTGCATCTCCATTCGTCTTAATTATTTACAGCACATATAATTTTAATGCAATCATGCATCAATCTTTTAATCACATTTTATGTAACATCTAGAAACTTTATATATTTATCTATATATTCCATTTTTTCATTATCTTTTCTTCTTTTCTGGTATAATTTGTGTTTACAATCATTGTATTCTTCATCTCGTCAGGAAAGATTTTACAGTAACATTTTTTTATCTCTTAACACTCTATAATATATGTATATATTTATATTTTTTTTTTGTTTTTGTCGCAAAGGTTAAAATCACATGGATACTGGAACTTTTGTTATTAATTCCATTTTTTATATGGCATATAATAATTCTTATAACTTTTCTCTCGTTTCTTTTAATTACTTTAATTACTCTTTATCGTTTCATTTAATTTGGATACGGGAACATGGTTGAACGGTCCTTCCTTGGAGGCAATTTTGGAGTAACTTCATTGGGATTTCTTGGTGATGCACTACAATTTTGTAGCAAAATGTAAATAATTTAAAACGGTTTTCAAAAATTTAAAATTTAAGTTTTCAAAAATTTTAAAAAATAGCGGGTTTCAAAATTTTAAACTTGACGAATTTATAACGATTTTCAAAAAATCAAAATTAAACGGTTTTCAAAATTTTAAATATTGACGGGTTTCAAAATTTTAAACTTGACAAATTTACAACGGTTTTCAAAAAATAAAAATTAAACGGTTTTTAAAAATTTTAAATATTGACGGGTTTCAAAATTTTAAACTTGACGAATTTACAACGGTTTACAAAAGATCAAAATTAAAAGTTTTTCAAAATTTTAAACTTGACGAATTTATAACGGTTTTCAAAAAATCAAAATTAAACGTTTTTCAAAATTTTAAACTTGAATTTATAACGGTTTTCAAAAAATCAAAATTAAACGGTTTTCAAAATTTTAAATATTGACGGGTTTCAAAATTTTAAACTTGACGAATTTACAACATTTTCAAAAAATAAAGATTAAACGGTTTTTAAAAATTTTAAATATTGACGGGTTTCAAAATTTTAAACTTGACGAATTTACAACGGTTTACAAAAGATCAAAATTAAAAGTTTTTCAAAATTTTAAACTTGACGAATTTATAACGGTTTTCAAAAAATCAAAATTAAACGTTTTTCAAAATTTTAAACTTGAATTTATAACGGTTTTCAAAAAATCAAAATTAAACGGTTTTCAAATTTTTAAATATTGACGGGTTTCAAAATTTTAAACTTGACGAATTTACAACAGTTTTCAAAAAATAAAGATTAAACGGTTTTTAAAAATTTTAAATATTGACGGGTTTCAAAATTTTAAACTTGACGAATTTACAACGGTTTACAAAAAATCAAAATTAAACGTTTTTCAAAATTTTAATCTTGACGAATTTATAACGGTTTTCAAAAAATCAAAATTAAACGGTTTTCAAATTTTTAAAAAATAACGGGTTTCAAAATTTTAAACTTGACGAATTTATAACGGTTTTCGAAAAATCAAAATTAAACGGTTTTCAAAATTTTAAATTTGACGAATTTATAACGGTTTTCAAATTTTTAAACTTGACGAATTTATAACGGTTTTCAAAATTTTAAACTTGACGAATTTATAACGGTTTTCAAAAAATCAAAACTAAACGGTTTTCAAAATTTTAAACTTGAATTTATAACGGTTTTTGAAAAATCAAAATTAAACGGTTTTCAAAATTTTAAACTTGACGAATTTATAACGGTTTTAAAAAAATCAAAATTAAACGGTTTTCAAAATTTTAAAAAATAACGGATTTCAAAATTTTAAACTTGACGAATTTCAAAAGACTGATTTAAAAAGTGTCAAAAAGAAACGGTTGATACTCACTTTAGTTTCTTACTCACAGTTCCTGGCGATTGTTTTGAGTCAAAATTAATAGAATTGTTTGGTAACGGTGATGGTTGTGTAGAATTAGATGTTGATTGATTTTCTTTATTATTGGCTAAAGCAGAATTTCTCCTCTGCATTATTGTGCTCGTTTCTGGTGCCGTTAATTGAGTCATTGAATGCCCATGGAATGATTCATCTCTCTGTAATATAAATACTCTTAAAATAGTAAATAAGTAAGGCACAAAAAGTCTCAATTGACATTCACCATATTCCATGTATTAAAATTATTGCTTGCCGTATTGTGATGTGATTGAGGTTGGTGATGATGCGTTGTTCGAGGTGGTAATGGAGGTGGATCCATATCTCTTGGCAAAAGAATTGGCGCATCAGCTGCTTGCCTTAGCTGTGAATTAATGTAGTCGTTTGGATTCTTTTTTGGATGTCTTTTGCGAGGTGGTAGTGGCGGTGGTATATGATTAAAATTGTGAGCATTTGGAACATTAACATGAGGAGAAATGGGTAATTGTGGACCATTAAGTTCATTTAATTGTGGACTTGATGGATGATTATAGCTTGGTGATGAACGTTCACCGCCACCCATTTCCAATGATGTAATATTTGCACGAATTCCAGCACGCTGATATGGATTCGATTTATAGAGTGATGGACTTGTTTGATCTAAATGATGATGTATTTCCATAGACCGCAGGTCCTCGACAAGAGAATCTAATGGCTTAGCTGGACTTATTGATGGATGTGTATTAAAATGATGCTGTGGCTGATGAATTCGTGGACTTAATAATGGTTTATCAAAATTATTTGTAGCATTATCATATTTATTAAAACTAGTTGTAGTCATCGTCATCGATATGATGCTGTTCGATCGTCGAGGAATTTCGGGAGCTATAGCCGATGTTATTGAGATCGTATCATCGGTCAATAATGTTGAATTTAAAGTAGATTGTGATGCAAAAAAGGATGATGAACTGGCTATAGGAATGTTTACATTTGCGAAAACGGAAAATTCTGATGCTGGCAAATGACTGTTTGCTGGAGGTGATTGCTCTCCTTCACTATTCGTGAATAGCTGACTTGCTTTTGAACTAAATGGTAATGTATTGGATAGACTCATAGATGAATTGCTATTATTATGACGTCGTGCTGGTTTAATTCCTGGTGATTTTAACGTCAAGTCTGGCCATCGACGGGGCTGCAAACAAATAGTATTTTTAAGCATAAATAATTTTTTCGATTATATCGAAGACTTACAAATATGAGTCGCTGACGGCAATTTTTTGGTTCAATTTTGAGACTTTGTTCAAAAAGGTAATTTTGAATGTCATTTACAGACTGGCCAGGAAAGGGATCTAGTGTTTCAATGAAGTGCTAGAAACAAAATAATGTCACAATAAGTAACGAGTAAATAATAATGAGCAATAAGGAGCTTACTCGAATCTTTGGATCAATCTTTAGACAGTATGGCTGATTTTGATATTGCTGAATTTCTCCTGTTATTTCGGCCACTTTTCGTCTCTTACTAAAGTTTATTAATACAGTGTCTCGTAAAAAGTCTGGATTACCCTCTTCAATGTGGAGAATATTAGTCATGTACATTCCAAAGAATGGCACACACGGTGGATTTATGGAACGCAACTTTTCTTGATATTTTCTATAATGATGTTCGCTCAACTCCAAGCACTCAGTCAAACATTTCTCATGAACTTTAGTTATTGCAGCTTGAGTCAATTTTAGTCTATAAACAGCAGCAGAGCTAAACGCAGATGCTACAGTGAGAATTCCATTAAAATTGTTTAGTTCCTGTAAAACCATCATCACTTCCACAGCACGAGTAAAAATTGCAACACGTTCCTCAAAGTTTTCGGCCTCAACAATTGATTTCTCGATCCAACGTGTAAACTAGAAAATAATTAAATAACGGTTTTCAATTATTCAAATAAAAACGGTTTTCAAAAGTTCAAAAAATATTTTTTGAAAACATTTGAAATTCAAAAATACGTTAAAAAGTAAGGCGACTTACATTATTAGTGTGTTTCGTAATTTTCAACAAATTTGGACTTGTCGTTTCCTTATCCTTTTTAGTCCACACAGCTCCAACTAATTCAGACGGTTTAACATTCTTGTAGAGCTCAAATTCGAGAAGAGTTAATTGTCTCGCTAGTTCCAAAGGATGAAAAGTCAATAGATTAAATTCATTTTCTGGAACCTGCAAATGGTACTCAATAGCAGGTGGAGAATGTCCAAATGCGAAAGTAATTTGCCTATGATTTTCATCATTATCAGTTTTTCTTTGAATAATTTTCAGTACCGAATCGACCCACTTTCTCATCGATTTTCCTTTTATTGATTCTAAAAACAGTGTCAATTCCTGTAAAAGTGTTGGATCCCTCTCAAAATCATAATAATGCTGATCTACCCAATGCCTCAAAACATTAATGACACGAAATTGCACAGGTTGAACGTATTCCTTTTTATAACGCTTCCAATCTTCCCGTTGTGAGCTTTTGTGCAGCCTATCGTCCAAATCTTTATCACTATTTGACGTCTCATAAACTAAACTCGGGTCTGGAATGTCGAAACGCTCGATGAGCAAATGAAGAAGCTCTTTTGGTGAACAAAATGAGCGGAATGTGGTCAAAAATGTTCTGACAAATGCTGGATCAGCATAAATGTGGTAAGTTAAACGTTCAACAAGTTTAATTAATGTTGCTCCTTTAATCAATGGAACTCCAGCGCTCTCTTTCTCTTCGAGAACAATATTGCTAGGACTATCAGCTTCCGCAAATTTATACATTTCAGCACTTGGTAACCTTAATGGATGCTGTTTCTCAATATCCAATAAAATGCTATCCAAAATTCTTTCCAACATTGATTTTGTATTCAACATTATTAAATCAGCCATCCATTCATTCTTGTGTTGAGCATTTTTAGCTATTAGAACTACAGAATGAGGTTCTCTTGGTGCAATTTCAAATGAATTTTTCAACTCGTCCGTATCTAATCGATCAATGATGTCTACTTTACGCATAAAAAATCTCTCCTTCATACGAAAATCATAGTTATTTGTAGTTCCTGACACCGTTTGCTTCCTAGTATTTGCTTTACATAACACTAACAGTCCATCAAATAGAAATACTTTACGTTCCGTATTGCGCTTTCCCGACACTAATTTCATTAACGTATCTTCCTTAATAAACTCATTACAGCATTGTCCAATGTCCTCTTTAACCCAATGTTCTACCGTATTTTGAAGCTCTTTCGTCTTCTCGATTGCCTGTTGTCGTCGTACACGCGAATTTGTTCTCATTAATGACTCTTTTGGCAACAATGGAATTTGTTTTTGAAGTTCAAATTTTAATGGTTCCAAAAGTCCTTTGACTGTCTCAAAACTCTCTCGGTCCTCTTGACTCGTCGTCAATAGTAAAAGTTTATCAACATATTCTATGTACACAAACGTGTGACCAATTGGAGTTAATAAAAGCTTTGGTAAATAATATTTAACAGCTTCTGAAAAACCATGACCCGCTGCAATCAACGATTGAGCTTTTGGCTTTGACAATAAATTCGATAAAGCTTCCTTCGCTTGCGATGATGTCACATCATTTGCATACTTAACGTACACGTCAAACTCCTCTGCTTCCGCGAGTTCTAAAAGAATCGAAATACCTCAATTAGTAATGTTTAATTAAGCGGTTTTTAAAAAATAAAATTATAGCGGTTTTCAAAAATTCAAATTGTAACGGATTTCAAAAAATCAAATTAGAACGGTTTTCAAAAAATCAAATTATAACGGTTTTCAAAAATTCAAATTATAGTTTTCAAAAATTCAAATTATAGCGGTTTTCAAAAATTCAAATTATAACGGTTTTCAAACATCCAAATTATAGCGGTTTTCAAAAATTCAAATTATAGCGGTTTTCAAAAATTCAAATTGTAACGGTTTTCAAACATTTAAATTATAACGGGTTTTAAACATCCAAATTATAGCGGTTTTCAAAAATTCAAATTATAGCGGCTTTCAAAAATTCAAATTATAGCGATTTTCAAAAATTCAAATTAGAACGGTTTTCAAAAATTTAAATTATAACGGGTTTTCAAAGGTTCAAAAGTATACGAATTTAAATCCAAAAAATTTGTTAAAAATTCAAATAAATTTTACCTTCGAAACAACTGCCAATGCACGGAGTGCTCTGTTCCTGAGACATCTCAATGACGTCTTCCAGTGAGCCAAGAAGTGTGACTGTGAGTTCGTAAATATCAATAATGTTGGAAAATATCGGGTCAAGTTCTCTGACTGGATCGTCAACAATTTTAATAAGCTCCTCACGAAATACTCGAATAATCATGTGTAAATCACGAAGATATTGCTTTTCATCGTGCAACAATTCCTTAACAACTTCATCATACGTCAATCCATCACGAGGCGTTATAGGCGGTAGTGGACTTACAATTGAATGATTCTCTCCTTGATAAAACATGTCCATTAATACCTGAAAAATTGTCAAGTGAATAATGTTTAATAAGCTCATGAGCTAGACGCACTTTAAGAACGAAAAAAAAAATATGATCAAAAGATACAGATAAAGAGAAAAAAAATAACGTAAATATCAAGCATAAGAAAAGCTGCAAATGTTTCTCATAAGCTACTTTACAACGATAATAATGAAGATCAGACACAACAAGGAAAATCATAAAAACAGATACACTTAGAAGACGACGTTACATGTCAATTAAATCATAAATTAAGAGTGAAAAACGATTTTCATAGAAGAAAAATAATTAATGTATATTATAATCCGTACGTACCACCTGATAATTATTTGATATTTGGAAATGAGAGCATGAAAAAATAATTTTGAATTTTTCAATCAATAAATCGGATAAAGTAAATGGTAATTCTATGCTAGTGATAGCATCAAACTGATTAATATGCATAATAATTTAGCAAAACTAGATTCGCAAATAAGATGAAAAACGACTTTCAAAAATCTGATGATCGCGCAAAATTATCATTTAATAAATGTTGACTAAAGATATAGATCTATACTCGCTAAATATGAACAGTTCCCACAGAACTTTGTTATTAGCTTTAGACTTATTTTTGTTTATGCATCAACTACACTTAACTAGCTTTCTACTTACACTGTCGGCTCGAATGGCAATTTGTACATCTTCCTGTGTAATCTCGACATGCTTCATGTTCTTGACATAATTCCCAGCCAATTTCAGAATGTCTGCCGAGATGTATTCCAAGACAGCAACAAGAAATAAGCTCACAGAGTTGTCTATTTTGTACTGCAGCACCTCCTAAAATCATTCACAACTTGTTAGTCATTAATAATTAACAGTTTGTAGCTATGTCATACCTTTTGTAGCAAGGTGTGCATGCGATCGACAGGCAGGACGCATTTTTTCCGTTTGGATTTGTCAATTGTCTCGCGAGCATCTGCAAGCGCCCACTAATAGCATCCAGAAAGGAAAATGGAGATCAAAATTATTAGAAATAGTGGATATGTGGATATGATTAGTGACGAGATATTTACCTTATCAATTGGCGTCGGAAATGTCTTTTGTACTTTTTCTTCGACATCCTGCAAAGTTGATTATTAAAAAAAGAGAGGAAAAAAAATTGAGAAAATTGTGCAATACAATATTTTATGTATGATATTCTTTTGCCTTAATTCCGTATTCTTTTCAATAAAATCAATTTAACTTACAGCGATTGTGTGCGGTGTATCTGTACATAAATTTGTTAATAATCGAAGACATAAATTTTCAACATAATACAATGCCTCATCGTGAGCCGTTAATGATGGATGAAGTTGTTCGAGTACCTGATTTTTATTGATTTAGAAAATAAAATTAATGTCACGAAAATCGTCTGGATACGACGAAAAATATCCAACAACCATTTGTGCTTACTTTTCTAAGTGAATTTAATAAAATTCCTTTCGTGAACTCGCTCATTAGTTAGAGTTTTCTTTTATCCACACTTTTCTTTGAGATATTAATAATTTTCATGGATTTTAACTCTGTTTTTGAGAAGTTTTTGAAGCTACAAGAATTGTGAGATATCATAAAATACTCAGAAAGCAGAAGAAACTTCTCTTTTCAGACATTTATTTAATTATTTAATTTATTTTTGTTTTTCTTCACGCTTTAGATCAATTCACTTTGATCGACTGACTGCTTCCCTTTTACTTCCCAAACTGCTCATCCAATTTTCGACCATATCCAGTCCAAACATAAATTTCACACTTTTTCATTAAATATCCATTATAATCTCAATGAATCTTCAAACTTTCATGCTTATTCACTTCCTTACTTCCTATTTATCACAATTCACTACTTTAATGCACAATAATCAGCTTAATTCCTATTTAAATTAATTAAAACGTCGTCTCACAAAGTTTTTTATTGTTTTTGTTGCTTACCTTTTGAAATTTTTCATTTTCTTTGTAGGTTTGCTCAATTTTGATAGTACGCAAAATACTCAACAAGTACTAATAATTGTGGAGCGCAGCTCCAATAATTAAGGCGCAGCTGTGAATAATATTTAAATAACACTATAATTTATTTTTTTAAAAAAATAATCAAATTTAACGTCTTTCAAAAAATCAATTCAAAGATTTAAAAAATTCAAAAATTATCAAAAATTTTAACGGTTCTCAAAAACATAATTTTACTAATTTAAGCACTATATAATTATCCAAGAGCTGTATACCATCTCTAGCTATGGACAAAGTGCTTTATAAAGTGAACAATTAATCTTTTACAGCGCTTAGAGATATGTTTGCACACTATTCAGGGAAACACTTTAACAACGCCAACTTACGTTTGTAAATTTTAATTAAAGAATTATTTTAAAGAAAAATAATGGATATACGACCATCGCACTCAATCTACGTCAATAATCTCAACGAGAAGGTAAAAAAGGATGAGCTGAAAAAGTCACTGTACGCAATTTTCAGCCAATTTGGTCAAATTCTCGATATTGTGGCACTGAAAACTTTAAAGGTATTGTTTACATTTTTTCAAAAATGCTTAAAATTAACTTAAATCATGTAATTCTAGATGAGAGGACAAGCATTTATTATTTTTAAGGAGATATCTAGTGCCACTAATGCAATTAGAACCATGCAAGGTAATTCATTCATTTATTTAGAAAATGTCGATTAATACATTACTGGATCTTTACAGGATTTCCATTTTACGACAAACCAATGAGAATCAACTACTCAAAAACGGAGAGTGATGTTATTGCTAAGATGAAGGGCACATTTAAAGAAAGACAGAAGAAACCAAAAGCACCAAAAGTCATTGAAGAGAAAAAGTAAGTTTTGAGCTACTCTAAATATCAACTGGATCTTAAATTCATATCTTAATCTATTTCCTACAGAGCAAAGAAGAAGACAATTGATCCAGCACAAGCAGCTATTAACTCATCAAATATCGAACAACCTCCTAATCAAATTCTTTTCCTTACAAATCTACCCGACGAGACTAATGAAATGATGTTAAGCATGCTGTTCAACCAGTTTCCTGGATTCAAAGAAGTTCGTCTCGTTCCTGGTCGTCATGATATTGCATTTGTGGAGTTTGCCACTGAAATTCAAAGTGGTGCAGCGCGAGAAGCTCTAAATGGATTCAAAATTACTCCTACTCATTCTATGAAGATTTCATTCGCTAAGAAATAAACACTTTTAAGCTCCTCAAATTCGTCAGCATCAATGATGAATTTACCACGCCACTGCAACGCATATAAATTAAGGAATAAATAAAAGGATTTTTAAAAGCATTGCACATTCCGCTTTTAAATTTTTGTATTGATTGATTCGTCTGTGATAATAGGTAGCTATGTGTGATTTTTTGTTTCATTATACATACTAAACTCTTTCAGAGACTCGAAAAATCAACAATACAGAAAAACCGGTTCCATCAATCATGCTCATGCACGTGCTTGTCTTGTTTATCAAATTATTAAATAGTTTTTAATCACTCATATTTGAGAAATAGCTCGTTAAAAGAATAATAAGTAGAACGCAGTTAATTGTCATGATTTAAATAATTCTAAATCCATATTCTATTTGCGTCTTATTCTATATACAATAGCCGCACATCTTTTTCTTGTTTCGATTAATTGCGTATTTGTTAATCATTCTCTTTAATTTTGGTAAAGTCGCGTGTAAGATGATATAATTGTTTACAGAAATAAATGCACACACATTGTTTGAGCCTTCTTCTCTCTTTTCTCGAAATTCGTATGTGTTATTTTGACCCTAAGATACCTAGCATTTGATTTAGGGGCCGTTCACTTATTACGTTTGCATTTTAGGGGGGGGGGGGGGGTCTTGAAAAATTGGAACAAAATGTAACATAGGGGGGGATTGTCAAGAAGAATGTAACGTTCTAACTGTCGTCTGTCTTTTAAAAAAAAGTTCACGAAAAAAATTTGAATTATCAACGTTTAGGGGGGGGGGGGGGGGGGTGAAAAAAGTCGGTTTTTTACGTAACGTAATAAGTGAACGGCCCCTTATTTAATGGAATTTTCCTAGCGTCGACACTTTGGGTAGCATAAACTTTGAAGTCTGTATAAATGAATCACATTCAGGCTAGCTTCTACTACAAATGTTACATTTTGATTTGAAAATCTTTCCAGTAAGTTTTTAAAACTCTGAAACCGTTATTTTTTGACAGAAATGAAAATTTGAATTTTAGAAATCCGTTTCATTTTCAAAACCTTAAAATCAGTTAATACTTTAAAACTTAACACTTTTTCTTACGGTTATGCGCTCTAAAGCCTCTTTTCGGATATTTGCTATCACGCTTACCACTTCTTTATTTATTTTTCACGACAAATGGCATAGCTGAAACTCCTCAATACAGTCCCAATCGTGCATTTAGCATTATCAAAAGCTTTAATTTTGTATAGTGTCGTATGAGATTTAATTAGTAAGTATTTTATCGCGAATTGCCAAAATAACAAATAATTAACTCAATTGAGGAGATTAGAGACTGGGTGAAAATTTGATAACACAATCCAGCAGGTCCTTCATCATCTGTCGTTGACTTTTTTAATAAATACTATTTTTATTTCTTCTTTTTCCAATGTATTTTTCCTTCATTATACTATTTGAAACTTTGTTCATTTCTTCATGTGATAAGATTAAACATATATTTTTATATTAAACACATTAAACAGCGACTCAATATGTGTTGAATATTTTTAGAAATTTAAATGAGTGTGTTTGTTCATTCGGTTTGCTTGCCACCTCGCTCAAAGAGCTTGTTTCTCATATTTTTAAAACAGTCCACAGTCAACCCTTATTCAGTCAAGTTGTGTTATCCGAGAACAGAGTTTTTTTTTTAATTTTGTTTTTCATTTAATCTTTATTAAAATTGTGTGTCGCTCAACATAGAATAAATAAAATAGTAAAAAAGTTTCAAAAATGTCATCGACTTATAATTTGGAAATTATCTACGATGAAAATGAATATGCTGTCTATTATCCTGGGCAGACAGTTAGAGGTATGCGATTAAATCTCATTTAATTTTTTGTTATCAAAAAATGCTGATTTTTATTTTATTTATTTTAAAAATAATTTTTTGTTTTGTTTTAAATCCCGTACAGGTCACGTTGAGCTGACTATTAATTCACAGCCATTAAAATTGCGAGGTAAAGATTCTTGTTTGGTATTTTCTGCTTTTTTCCGGACCAAACAAACATATGTTGTGACTCGATATCTATTACGCAGAATGTTTATGACTTTTGTGACTAAACAAACCGGCATTTGTCTAAACTAGCATTCTTAGTCAAGGACAAACATTGTCACACTCTGTTTTCCTTTGTCATTCAGTCATTTGCTGTTCTACAGTGATTTGGAATTGTGAAAAATTTAACGCTCTTTTTGAAATCTTAAAAATGTAACGTATTTTTAAAATTTTAAATCTTCAAGCTGACAACTTTTTAAATTTCAAAACACCGTTAAAATTTTAAATTGTTATTTTCACTTAAAATAATTAACAAAGAAATGCCTTAAAACGTTACTCACGTTTTCTTTTTACTTCCCATCTCCTCGACAAAAACAAAAATTATTAGGTTTATCAATATTAATAAAAGGCAGTGCAGCATGCAATTACTCAAAAGATTTACAAGCCGAACAAGAGTTCTTTATGATTGATAGGGAAGTAGTCGAGTCAAAAGCTGAGGCTATTGAATTAGGTCCTGGAAACTTCACATATGAATTCAGCCATCGATTGCCTAGAAACATCCCATTTAGTGTTGATGGAACGTATGGAAATGTAAAATATTTTGTGCAAGGTATTAATTGAATCAAAATAGTCAATACGTGCATGTAAGCACGTCCAACAAACCATAATAATAATTATCTTTTTTTATGTATCGTTAATTCATTAGCAACAATTGACATTCCATGGGACTTGTATGATAGAAAAATCTCCAAACCATTCACAGTTTTGCGCTATGAGGATCTTAATTACATGTCAGGCATGCGAGAAGGAAGAGAAGTTTCAATTCAAAAGCAAATTGACTCGTCAGCATGGTTCTTTTCGAGATCTTCTCTTGGTCTTGTTACAATTAAGGCACAGATTCCAAGATGTGGATTTGCTCCAGGTATGTTTTGTAGTGCTTCATATATATGTGAAAAATATTCTGTGGAGTTGATTGCAAAATGAAGAGTTGATTTTTGATTTTGTAAGATTTTTGAATGACGTCATTTCGATCATATCAAGAAACTTGTTGAAATATTCATAATTAAATATCAGCAAGTGGAAAAGATAAGAAAAGTACTGGCATAGTCGAGCAAAAAAAGTGTAAAGCTCGGACTCTTTAATTTAAAGACATGCATATAAATTTTGTGAAAACTGGGGATCTGTAAAGCGACAGAATAGGCACTTTAACGTCATTTCTAAATGACCCCAATATCTCCATCTCGTCAATCTACTTCATTTGTGCATGCATGCTTAGAAAATATATACAAAGTAAACCTCTCTAGTATGCGTGTCTATTACGAAATAATAAGTTATAGTTTGTTTTTAATTGAACAGGTGAAAAAATTAATGTTGATGTATCGATTGATAATCAAACGTCTGCTGATATAGAAAATGTCTTGATATCATTACAATATAATGAGAATTATACAGCACAAACACCATGGGCGAAATTGGAAGAAAAGATTTCAAATAAGATAAGCGAGACGATTGCTGAAGGCATTAAGGCAGGATACACGAAAAAGATTAAAGAGAGTGTCTTGGTACCTGAAAATTCCAAAATCACCAGCGTAATGTTCTCAAATGTCTTCCAGATATCATATCATGTTCAAATCACAGCCAAATTTCGACGTGCCACTATTCCCATCTCAATTCCAATCTACATTGGATCAGTTCCATTAAAACCTGAAGAAGAAGGCAGAAAAGTTGAAGGAATTCCTCCTTTATGGCCACCCCAATACTCAAAGAATGGTGCTATTAAGCAACAAGATGATGCTCAATCAACAGCCAGTGAATAATCACGATACAAAAGAAATCTTTTTTTAATTTGACAAGGGAGACTTTATGGCTGTAAAATAGTTTAAAATTAGTGTAACTGCGGATTTCAATTGGGGTCTATACTAGACAAACCTAGTTCTAGACACACTAGTGATACTATACAGCAAACTACGTTCAATGTTGACTATTTTAATACCATGAACCGCCCTTGATATTTTCATATATTCATAAAAAAACACATTAGATTTTAATATACATGCATACACATAAATATAATATAAAATACAAAAAAAAAGATACAAATTGCATAAAAACAAGAAAAAAAATTTCTATTGCTAATTTTTCCATTTCTCCTATTTCTTATGCTTTTTTTGGTTTAATTAAAACAACATTAAATTGATGATTCCTAGTTTTTTTGTGTCACAATATATTAATATCAAATTGCTATCTTGTTTTCTCTTTAAGAATGGAAATAATAATAAAAACGTATGTATCTATTTATAACATGAAGCACTTGTTGATTCATCCAAACATATTTTCAGATCCACTCGAGTCCATGCCTTTATTGAGTTTCTTCTCGCACAGATTTTTCACATTGTCTTGTCGTGTGCTCACAGCCAGCTTGTAAATGCGATTTATATAATCAAGATTATTCAATGCAGCACTATGAACGAATGCCGTTTTCAGTTGATTTGAATTTATATAACATTGAATTTTCATTGTTTTACTGGATATAAACTTTATGAGTGAATCAATCTGCACTTTTGCATCTGCCTCGTACTGATTATATGATATTTCTATTGCCATGCTTATCAGCTCATCACACATTTTATCAATTTCAGGATCAGTTGCATTCTCATTTGTTTTGATACAATTTATAAGCTTCTCAACTTCAATCAGTCTCTTTAAATCATGTGCGAGATACTTAATACACGTCGAATAAATCTTGAACGCATTCAACGAGCATTCCTGTATAATTCTGTAATAATAATCATATTGAAAATGCCAATTATTAAATTATGTACATATGAAATTGCTGCATTGCAAGGCAAATGCGAAGGCAATGGCTTAAACACTGTGCTAATAATCAGCTGGGCGTTGGCAGTTTTTAATTGCTTTTTAACGACTATTTTGGATTTAAATGAACTGGAATGAAACGAACTCTTGTTCTACTAAACGTTTTTAAAGTCAATCTTATTTTTAAAAAATCAAGTTCATTTCAGTTCAGTTCAAAAATTTTAAAAATGAAAAATCCGTTAAAAACAGTCATTACTGAACAATCAGTGCCTGCCATATTAAAATGCTAATAAATAATATTACCTGTAGCATAATCCAAAACTACTTTCAATACGGCCGCATATGAGCAATAAAATTGCAACTTGACTCTTTTCATTCGACTTTCCAAATAAAGTTTTTAAGCTGATTTTGTCGGCAAATAATTTAGGTATCACATCAAGTGTTGAATTGCCATTAATTTCACAGCTTGCGAGAAATTTGGTGACTTCTAATTGTAGCATAATGATGTTAATCTGAGCATTAATAGTTTTAATATCCCATTTTAAGTGAATTTCATTTCTATTAGTGCTTAATCCATTTTCGACATGTTCAAGTTCAATTTGCAGGAGGTTCTTAGCGTCAATTAAATGCCTCGTATTTTCAACTAATTCAATAAAATTTCCAGCACCATTTAGATATATTTTTAATGATGTTATTGCCGCCCTTATATTATCATCAATTAATAATTGAACTTTATATAAGACTTGAAGTGACTTCTTACGTTCCAAATATTTACACAATGCATCAATATAGCTTTTGCTGATTATGAAGTTTCCATCTATTTGCTTCAATGCATTTATAAAATCTATAAGGCGACCAGATCTTATGATAGGAATGATTATGAATTGGATAAACATCTCAGATGGAATCTTTTGAATTAATGTGTACCTTATTGCAAACTTGATGAGATTATTTTTCATAAAAAACTCAAGTATATCTCCATTACTGCCATAATTAACGAGATAATACATTGATTCAATAAAATAGGCACTCTTTGTCAATTCTGTTCGATCCCATTCGAATATATCTGTTACTTTTCTCTTCGGACTTCCATAATCGCCATCCATCATCTTCTTTAAATAATCCATAGAATTTGAATTAACTTTTGGACTAGCTTTAGGTGATGAGCTGTTCCAATGAAAGCTTGTCATTAATGCAGCATCAAAATGCTTTGGAACTGATGAATCAATTACTTCAAGAATTTCGCACAACAATTTTGGAGTCTTAATTAACCGTTTAAAGACAAAAGTAGCATTGTTTATCGGTATAATGCCATTTAGGGCGTCCATAAACTCTTCATTATCTTTTGGAGTATTTCCAGTAACAGGTTGTAAAGCTAGTGCTATTTTGTCTCTTGCTAGCTTATAATTACCTCCTTTGATTAATGATATAGCCCATGCTGAGAAAACTCCCGGTATTGCAGTACGAACTGATTTGACTGACAAATCTAGTGCTAATTTCCAATTTTCCAATTTTATTAGCTCATTAATAATGTCTCTTGTCGACAAATTATTATTTACTCCACTAAATGTTGCTTTTGATAGTATTGAGTCACAGTCACTCTCAGCTATTTTCAAGATGATGTCAATTTGCTCTATAATTATATTTGATTCTCCCGAATCTCCGAAAAGTTTGGCAGTTTTTGCTAAATACTTGAGCATTGATCCGACTAGAATGACATCGATCTCGGGATTTATCCGACCTTTAATTGGATGCAATAAAAGCTCTAAACGCCGGCAATGGAGCAGAAGGAAGTCAATAAACTCATCATTAATTGTATGAAGGCATATGATGGCAATACAACGTCCAACATTCGGTGAATACTCGAAAGTAAATTCATCACGTATCATCTGATCTGTATCATTATCTCCTGTTAATTTCCACTCAATTTGAATGTCAGCTGATCGAGATTTGTCATGCGATGAACCATGCTCTAATTTGCGTTTTATTGTCTCCATCTGTGCATAACATTCATCACAGCATCTCACCATAAGATCGTTGTACTTGTCAGGTAATAACACCCTTTTTCGAGAACATTCACCGCAAATGACGTTTCCGCACCTTTAGAAACGATCGATCAATAAAAATAAAATAATTAATAAAGTCAGACTCTAAAGGATAGTAAATGATACAAGCGCATTTTTTCATTTGAATAGCATAAAAGTTTGCCAAAAAAGCTTTGGATTTCAAAAATCCGAAAGCTTTCAATTTTTTTGTTATTTGCAACTATATTTTTTGACAGATATTTATCAATTATGATTGTCAAAAAAGGCATTCTCATTAAAGACGGGACATAGTGTACACCTTTAACAGCTACAAAAATGCACTTGAACCTATTAATACTTTGATTAAATTGTAACAAAATGTCTACGAACCTTCTACAATGATGTCGTCTATTTAATAAGCTAAATTTGGACTTTTTGCAGCACATACAAAATACAGCTTCATTATCTTTCACCCACATATCTTTTGAGGGTATATCTTTTGGCATTTGATGAGCTTGTACAATATCTGATGTTTGAGTTCCTGAATGTAATGATGGATTGTTTTGTGATGGTATATCAATAATTTGGAAATCAAGAGCTTTTGCTGCATAAATTTTGAATAAAAAGTCAAGGCAATCATTTGATATTCTATATCCATTATGGAAGGCGTTGAAATCGTACACCAATGTTTCGCCAATTTGACAATCTTTACTTGTCGTATTGCATAAATTACATGATGGCTGATTGTTTAATAATTTCCTCAGTTCCTTCACAATCTCATTAAGGCTATCAATTTTTGAGTTCATTAACAATTGTTCAATAATTATTAGTGGATATGGTGATAGTGTCCAAAGCTGTACATCATTAATATCAAGATGATTAATAATAATGCATGAAATTTGAAACTTTTGATATAGCACGTGATTAGTAGAGTTTGAATTAATTAAATAATCCAAAATTTGTTCCATTGACTTCATATTGTGGATATAATCAAGCGAATACTCGTAAAAGTCAACTAAATATTTTCCCGAGTAGTTTTGAATAATTTTAAATAATGTGTCGTGCTGCTCATTAAATCCACATTTGTTAAGTGCTTCTATAAATATTTGATAAACTTTCTCGTTCCTCTCTTGTAAGGGATGAAATTTTAACAAATCATTACAAAGATCAAGGTCTGTAAACTCGTTAATTAGAAAATTAATCAGCACCGATGTATCATTTTCAGCCATTCCTAAAATGTTTATCCACGTGATGTCATTGTTTGCTTTAGACTCTCTAAACAATTTTAAAATTTGTCGATAAATTTTGATCTTTTTGAGCCATTCTTCTAGTTCCTTTCGTTGAATGTCTTGAATAATTTTTTGATTTTTAGCACACAAACTCCATGTCAATAGAGCTTCTAATTCTTCATCAGAACTAATCTTTTTAATATGTTTCAACAGCAATTCATTGAATTTATTCACATTTCCGATTTTTTTGAGTAAATCTTCAACATTTCCTGAGTTTCTGTCCATTAATGTCTCAATTAAATCATCTTTAAGCTCATTAAATTTGGTTTTGTTTCTGTGAACATTACGTTCATTCACAAACGAAAGCATCATCAGTTTGCCATTCTCATTAAGATTCTTTATCTCATCAAGCAGCAAGTTCATGTCTATAAAATCATAATTTATTGCAGCAATTGTAGAATTATATCCATAAATCTGCTTTAATATTTCTATAGACTCTAGCTGCTTTAATCTATCGAAAAAATTTGGCTCGTCGTATTTTAGACTTTGATAATTGAACTTTTGGATTTCCTTAATCAAATAAGCGACTAGAAATGACCCAGATTTCTTTATATAATATAGAATTGTCGTGTTGCTAATATTAAAATATTTCAATTCCTTTTTAACATTTTGACTAGATTCATTGTCACTTCTTGCAGACATCCATAAAGGCGACATAAACTCTGTTCCACCGGCGATAGCTATTGCGTGTAAAAGATTCAAATTTACGCTATTTGATTCCGTTTCTAATGAATCTGCATGTAACTGGTTATCAAAAATGATCTTGCCTATCAACTCGTAAATGTTCAAGTCTTTTATGATCTCGTTGATATTCAAATATTCATTTGTGACGTATTTAATTATATTTCTTATATTCTTCACGTTTGTTAACACTCGATCGAAGAAGTTGATGTCTGAATTGAAATTATTCATTTTTGATGCTATATTCTGCAGCGTTGGTTCATCATTCATTGTTGCTATATTAATTTTCATTAAATTTATTAATTGATCCCGATTATCCTTTTGAATTTTAAATGCTAATGTATCAAAACTAAAGACTTCGTTGTTTATTAAAGTTTTTAAAGGAATTGGAGTGTCGTCAGTTTGACAAGTGTTGATCATACCGACGATTTTTTTTAAGAATGTGATATAATAATCTACGTGTCCATTAAGCTTCAATTCGCAGTAACTTGAAATACAATTTGCGGCTGCTTTAGTAATTTCAAATTCACTGGATATTGAGATCATCAAATCCATTATCACAGCGACTTTTAAATGATCTTGCTTGTAAATCTGAAGATTTGGCAGTTGCACTATTAATTTGTCTAGAATATCATCATTTTGGTTTAGAAGATTGTATTTTGGAAGACTAAACCTTTCAAGCATACTCGTTAATCTATAAAGCTCAAAAGTGGCGCTGGAACCATACCTAATTTTACCGACATTAAAACCAGCGACAGTGTATTCATAAGCTTTAATGTACTCAGCCACAATCAATTCGAAACTTTTAAGAGTTTCTTGGTAGTTTTTCATCATTTTATACTCTTGTTCCACGGCTCTGTCTTTTAGATTGTAATCCTGTTGATGATAAATTATTTAAAACAAAAAAAATTAAACCACACAAATGTTTCGTAATGTTCGGAAGCCATACAAATGTTTTAATTTTCACCAAAACACTTCAAAAGTTAACACAAAAAACATTTATAAGGTTTTTGGACACTTAATTAAAAAAAAAAGATAAAAGCTCACCTTAATAATCTTGAAAGCATTCTCATCATCATTATTCTTTATACACAATGCAACTAAGCTTTCAGGACTCATCAACATTTTAGCAATAAAATTTTCAAATTTTCTATTTTCCAAAACTATCAAGTTAATTGCTGAATGCTGAGAATTTTCAGCAGCATAAAGGCTTTCAATATCTTTATCTCTTGAATCTTTTTCATGTGACTTATCAGAAGTATCTGACATTTTGGATCGCTTCCTTAATTTCTTTCGAGGTGGTTTTCTGCTAGAATCGATTTTCTCCTCGTCACTTTCTGCAATTATGATTGATTTTAATGTTTCATCATGGATTATCAACCATTCATCCGATTTTTCCAACTCAACCTCTTTTTTATCGTCATTTTTCACAATTACTGACAATTTCCACAATCCAATGTCCACGTTTCGAAGAAGTTTTGTAAACTTTGCCTTTAAAGCTTCATCACAGTTCTTATAAGCTTCTGTTATATCTAGACTCATCAAGAACAACCGCATTGAGTTTAAAACAATTTCTAAAGTTTCTTTCGAACAAATAAAGCCTTGATTATTAAAGGAATCTATGAACACATTAGAAACATCAGTTGAATTAAAAACAGTTGCTGGACTAGACGAATTAAAGGAATCCACGCTTCTTTGTTTTAATCGAGTTTTTCTTATATGCTCATATCGTGTGAAAATTAGATAAAAGACAGTTTGCAGAATTTGATACAATATGCTTCCATCATTAATTGTTTTTAACAAGCCTCTTATGTGATTCATACAGATCTCACTAGTTTCTTGACTACAATCTTTTTTGAGAATTTTCAGCAGATACAATTTTATTAGCATATATTCATTGAACAGCTGCATTTCCGTTTTATGAGTATAAGCATGATTAGTTGGATTTAACTTCTCTAATTGCATCAAATTGTTCTCATAATTAAAGTTCAGCAATTTCAATATCAAATCATAATTTTCCATGACAAAAGGAGTTTCAAGCTTTAAAAGTTGTGTCATTATGTGATTTTTGGTATTATCTAGTGCTGCATTAATTTCTGAATGTTCATTTAAAAACTGTAAGATTGTGTTTTGTCTAGAGAGTTCCAAAAAGCACAAGTGGAGATAATTGTTGCCCATTACAGACGACACATTGATATCTTTAACAATCTGCTTATTTAAAACATTCTGATCATCAAGAATCATCTTACATAGTGTGATAATCTCATAAAATGCTGGACTGAATTTGTTTTTAATGACATCGTCATGCTGATTATTTAAAACAGACTCGATCCAATGTTTTTGTTGATAATGACATTTGAGGAAGATAGACCGTTCGTCGAATTTTTCCAATAATCTGCTTTTCTCATATTCCAAGTACAATTTGAGAACTGTTAATGAATTCCTTGATAACAGAGCAAAATACAGAACTGCAAATATAATTATCAGTGATTACAAAATATGTTCTATTATGTCAAGGCAGCATTATTAATGACTCACCATGATCTAGCAAATGTTTATTCTCTTTTAGATCATAAAGTACGGGAAATAGATCAGAATTGACTTTCTGGATCTTATCTTCAGAGATGTAAATGTTTGCGAGTAAATTGTAAAGCTTGAATTTCTTATCCAACTGATAAGGATTCTCAATTAACATGTCTATTAGCTTATTTACTGTTCCAAATATGATGTCCTCAATTAGCTGGTTCTTTTCATGATCTTTGGAATCAATTATATGTAGAATTATTTGATTTGTTGGATATGGACACTCTAAGAGCTTCTCGTGAAGGAATTCTATCACTTTATCACTTAAATCCATTGAGCTTACATCTGGATCTTGTAAGTTCCGCTTGTATCGGACGATTTCCTGGATGAAAAATAAAGATTTTTATATTTTTGCCTGACGAAATTTTAATTTTTAATTTACCTGTCCGATACTCTCATAGTTTGATGCTTGTGGCAATATTTCCCAATACTCGAAGAACTCATCCATCATTTTAACACTATTTAATTAAATCTAATAAAAAGGAAAGACGAGAAACAGCAATTTTTTAACAAGATAAAAACTTAAACAAAATGTAAATAAAACAATGAACTTTAAAAACATTTGTAGAGATTTCAATAATTTTAAGAAACATTTGAATTGGTTTAAAACTTTTATTTGAAATCAAAGAAGCTGTTGAATTTTTGAGAGAATATCAATGACTATTTAACGTGTGCTTAATAAGCTAGAATTATTGCTTTAATCCTGGACAATACGTTTTAAATAAGCTATTTTTCGTTCATTTAACTTTCGCAATAACATATTTCATGATTAAGTGATCATATGCCGACTTAAAACATCAATTTTGTTGAAAGTACGCAATGTCATCTTATTATTTAAGTACAAATGGAAACGTGGGTGCATAAACGTCATATTTAATCAGTAGCATAGCTATTATAATTAAGAAATCTGCCGGCAAAAAATAACCGTTGAGAATTTTTTTTGAATTTTTCTAATCAAAATTTATTTTATGTCGTTTAGCAACTATGAACTTCCTGGCTGTTTTGCTTATCATGTTTACACGGAGAATTAAGCAAAAAGAAAACATAATAGAGAAATAAACTGCTTGGTTTTACTGATCATAATAAGATCTTTAATATCTGATGAATATCCATCATAAATCTTAAGTTTTTAAGCTGCAAAATTAAGTTGTACAAAAAATTTCACGCATCGAAGTTCAAAAGACAAGGAATGTCAACAAACCATAAAAATTTAAATTGAAATTCTTAATTTCATTAAATTAAAGTATAAAACGGCAGTAAAATTAGCATAAAAGACTGACAAGATAATTATCGAATCTGCCTGGACAGATATGGTATAACAGCTAAAAGTATAAATGGATCGCAATAAAAAGGCAAAAATTCAGCATTCTTCAGAATCGTTATTTATATTGGGTAAAGACCGAAAAAGAAGCGATGGATCGTCACAACTTCCATCAACATCCAAGAAACCAAGAATAGCACCAACGTCAATTCATTCAACAACTGTACCAATACCGACTACGCCAGTTCCAGAAAGCTGGGAAGATACCATTAACATAGAATGTGAAAATATTAATCTTATATCCTCAGTTCTGCAAGCAACTGGTAACTATTTGTGCTTATTAGCATATAAGCATATGGATTTTATGTTTTTGATTACTTACAGATCAACAGGATAGCGATAAAATAGTTTCGCTAGTTTGCGGCGCAATTAAGAACTTGGCATCATCAAAATCCAAAAATGACTCGATACTAATCATGTCGTTGCTTTATCTGGCTAAAATAAGACCACATATTTTTGGAAATGACAACATTTCAGCAGCTATTCTGTCACTTTTAAAGACTGATAGTCAGCATGCAGTTCGACATCCAGTAAAGAATAATACGACAGTTTTTGCAATGGCTGCAAATTTACTTGCTCGTGGACATTATGATAAGAAAAAGTGGCCAGAAAGTTTCGTTAAAGTTTACATCGATGATGCTTTAAATGAGAGAGTGTGGGTGGATTTAGAAGAGTGCTCACTCTTTACGGATCATATTGGTAAGTACAATTATACTGTTTTTCTGACAATCTCATTAATTGATATATGAATTTCATAATAGTTGCTGCTTTTGGAACGAAAAGTCCACCTCAAAAGGCTCAAGACTCAGCTAGTGGAAGTTTGAAAGAACCGATCGTCGCCATGAATGAAGAAGAATCCTCAGACAGCATGGTATCGGAATCGTCAAGAAATACAGAGGAACTTCAATTAAACTCGAGATTTTTTCACATCCAAGAAACTGTAGAAAAGCTAGTGACAGAAACAATCAAGGATCAATTTAATAGAAGGCAGTCTTCCGATTTTCTCACTAAGAACTTGCTTAAATTTGCATCAACTGCTTGCGGAATTCCAGAAGTTAGATCTATAGTCGTGACACGATTAGAATTGTGGATAAGTAATGCAAAATTGGTTAAACCAGCACAAGATCTATTAGAGTTCATTTGCTATAACATCAGTGCAAGTCAAACGAAAGATCAGGAAGTATTGTCGCACTTACTGAAAATGAGACTTAAAACGAAGCCATTGATTAACATTTATATGAACTGTTTGAGAGACTTAATTACTCTCCAACCTGATATCCTTAAAATAATGATGAAATCAGTCGTTCAACAAGAATTATTAATCCTTTATAATGCACGAAATCCGAATAATATGGGAATTCTAGCTACAATCTTTCAAGCTAAGCCAGAAGCAGCAGCGACAACATTAGCTGAAATTTATCAAGACTTTCTGTTGCTTAGAGATGATTGTCTGAAGACTCTGCGTGTGTTTTTGCGTGAATTAGTCAAGACACTTCGGTACGATATTAATTTAGTGACATTCTGTAAAACATTAATGAGTGATCGTGCTGAATTTATACAAGCTATAGAAACGAGTGAATTTCGTGAACGATGCTGTTTTGCAATTGCTGATTTAGTTTGTCTCTGTCGGTTCCTATCAGTTTCACCACACATAAGAGATGCTCACAATGCAATCAATAAAAGTAGCCACGATCAAAAGAGCTCATTGGTCTACAACTTTTACAATCAAATGTCACAAATTCAATATGAATCGCTTACATGGACGTTCCAGGAAGTTCCGAAAATTTACAAATTAAGTGCTCCAGACTATTCATCATTAATGAATAAAATTTTGATTCTTGATCCACCAGAAAATTATTCTAAATTCGACTCATGGCCACCAGAACCTGAGCGATTGCTTCTTTTAAATCTTGTTGCAGAAGTTCCATTATTACAAGATTCAATTTGGACAATAATATTGATTGGAGTAAGCAAGGACATAAGTTTTTCAATTTGTGACACTGTAATGATTATTGATCAAATTGTAAGACGTGCATGTTTATTAAAATACACTGAATATCCACCATTGGAAGTTACAAAACTTGAAATCATAGACTTTTTGTTCAGCATGGCTGAATATCATCATCCTGAAAATATTCAACTTCCTGCTGGATATGAACCACCGAAATTAGCAATTTCTCAAATTTACTGGAAAGTCTGGATCATCTTATTGATTCTATCAGCTCATAATACAGGAACAATTGGAGCTTTTTGTTGGGCAAACTATCCAATGCTGAAAATGCTAATGGAAATGTGTATCACTAATCAATTCTCCATGATTAAACCTCCCGATGAGGAACTTCAATTAGCTGTAATTGAAAAGAATCAAATTATCCAATTTGAAGGATATCTTGCTGCTGCAACATCTAAAGTTGTTATTCATGAGCAAAATTCATTGCTGATTTCTCAGGTAATTTATTTTTAACGGTTTTATAAGAATTTGAAGGGTTTTGATCAATTGCAAACATTTGTATGGCTTTGACTAATTATAAACATTTGTATAGTTTTCATAATTTTAAACTTATAAAAACTGTTTCAATTTTGTTCTTAAAATTAAATAGGTAATGCTGATGGATCCACTAAGTGTGGCACGTAGGCCTCCTAAGAATGTATTGGAAGAGCTTCATTCATTGAATGCAAGTCACAGATTAGGACATTTACTATGTCGCAGTCGTAAACCTGACTTGTTGCTTGATATCATTCAAAGACAAGGAACTTCTCAATCTATGCCATGGTTGAGTGATTTAGTTCAGAGTAGCGATGCTGCTGGAGATTTCAATCACTTGCCTGTTCAGTGCTTGTGTGAATTTTTGTTGTCTAATTCCAACAATATTTCATCGGAAAATTCTCGAGATGTCGAATTGATTACTTTTCTACAGAAAATGCTGCACAGTGATGATACGAATGACTATCAGACATCTTATGAAGTTCTCGAGTATTTCTTGAGGAGATTATCGTCAACATCAAAATATGGAAGACAGTCAGCTATTAGAGCATTCAGATTGCTTCTTAAAAGCTTAGATCCCGAACAAGACAAAGATTCAGAGAACGAAGAGTCAGACTGGTTGCTTAAATATTTGCCATCGATTCCATCATTTCCGTACATCTGTGAACGAATTATTGCCCAACTTCGTGCTGCATGTCAAGTTGAAAATTCTCCAGACTTGATTATGATTTATATCCAATTTGTTGCAACACATACTTTAAATGATCCAGTGACTGAAATGATTGAACATGTAGCTTGCTGGTCTCTTTTGATCGTCGAGAGAAGTGCTGTTTTTGCATCCATTTTGCCTTCAAATCAGCAAGATCCAAAATATCACGAAAAGTTCCAGACTTTAAGCTACCTTTTCATCATGTTTAACAATTTTATAATTAAAATGAAAGAGAACAATTCAGAAATTACAATGCCTGAATATCCTGACTTACTAGTTGTTCATTTTGCGGACGAGACTCAATGTCATATGCATTTGAACTTTATACATGCTTTGGTTATTCTTTTGTGCCAATCTGCAGGCATAACTGGTGCTATGGATCTTTTGGATTATTTCTTTCCCGTTGGAAATGCAGCATATCCTCAAGCTTTTAGTGTTGAAACTGGAGATAAAGTTCAGATTTTGCCTGATTGGCTGAAAGTGAGTTTTACCGTTATTACAATTTTTAAATTTTTGACAGTTATTTTTCAAATAATTTTTGATCGTTTTTTTTAAATTTATTTTTTTTAAAATAGCTAAAAATGATAAGGAGCTCAATCGAAAGAATGGTAGATGTAGCACTGCAAGACTTAACATCAGAGCAGATTATATTGTTTATTCAAAGCTTCGGAACTCCAATAAATTCAATGAGTAAATTATTGGCGCTTCTCGATCATGATATTGTTAAGGATGCTGAGTCTGTTAATGCAGCAATCATTAATAGAGCGTATTTGTCGCAATTTATTGACATTCAGCAAATGCGTGGTGCTAAAAATGGGCATATAGCTATGAAATATTTAAAATCGATGGATGAAAAGCCACAAGTTAATGAAAAGAAGGCAAATACCGAAGTTGTTGACATGCTCGAAAGGTTTGATGCCATGAAGATTAAAGTGAAATCAAGCAGTTTTAGTCGTGGCAAGTTTTCACAAGGAGCAACAAGTTTCAATGTCAGCAGTTTGCTAGGAGAAATCGTCAACGAGGATATAAAACCAAAAGTCGAGCCGTTTTTAGACACAAAGTCTATTATAAAATTAAATCTGAGTGATTCTGGAAGAAATATTCATCATACACTATCGGAACTTATTAATTCTACACATCCATTTGATATTGAAATATTTGCACATCGTCACTTAAACTTTAAGAATTTAAAGCAAAGTAAATTGGCGCATTTAATCAACTCAATGTGTGTTATGCTGAAAGAAGAAAATGATAATTTATCAATCAATAAAAAAGGCATAATTCTTGATTGGCTTGTGGAATTCGACAGCGAATTGATTCGTACAAATCAAGATGTTCAAATCTCATTGCTGTTTGGTAAAACAATTCAAATTTATCGACCATACTTGCTGTCGCTGTTGATTCATCAAGCAAATTGGTCTACAATACATTTGGCGATTGAGAAGCTCTTCAATCCAATTAATTCTGGAATTTATGATCCAACATCGGTGCTTGATTTTACTGATGCAATTATAAGGAATCCAAAAATGTGGCAAGGACGTGACAAAGCGGTTCCAAAGCACGAACAAATTGAATATGTGCTGATTTTGAATGAGAATAAGATAAAAGCATTCATTGATTATATTCTGCAGGAAGAAGAAAACATGACAGTTGGACATGGTGAGTCTAAAATGAATGAACGTGTAATTTTGTTACTGAGCTGCATTCGTCCAAATGAGTTGAGCTTGCAAAATGTTCTTGGACATTTGGAAACAAGTTTATTAGGTGAAAATGTTAAAAACAAGTTTCTGCGACGATTGTACTTGAGCATTCCGAATTTATTCATTGACTCGGACATGAATGACATTATTAATGAAGCTAATGAGTTGATTCTTAAGGAATGTAATAGCTCAATAAGTGATAAATGGATCCACAATGTTATAACAACATTAGCGAGCTTATCAAATCAAAAAGACTTTCAAGCTATTGGTTCGGATATGGAATTGCCGTTGAGGAAGTTTGCAGCAACTTATCCAGTGTTGTTGTTGAGACATTTACCATTAATTGCATCATTGCTTGCTGGACGTGGACACATGGATCTACATATTCTAAGACATGAACATCATATTGCATTCTTTAATCAAATTTTGGGAACTTTAGAGCTTTTACAGCCAATGATTTTTGAAGATGTTTATATGGCTGGTTTACATAAAGCTATATCATCATTCTTTTTATTGCTACATAATCATGGAAAGGATCTTTATGGACTGATTGTTCGTGTTATGGAATTTGTTAAGAATTATGCAGCAACGAATCCAACTTGTGCATACATACTGATCAATAATCATCATGATATACTGGCACAACTATTTTCTAGGAATAGAAACATCATTCCATTACAGCAGATCATGACGTCTTCACAGTTTTTAGCTAAAGGAATTGCCATTTCTGCATTGTCAGCTAAGCCAGAAGTCATCCAACTTAATGTTATCTCAAAATTGGGGAATATAACGAGAATGAGTCACGAAGAGTTGCTGTCAACCTTACAAGAGATTGAATATCAAACAAATAAGAAGCCAGCACAGCTTGTGGACATTTTTGGAAAGTTGACAGAATTAATTGTCAACGATTCATCTGATGTGAGGAATTTGGCACATTCAATGCTTCTTAAAATGCTCAAACACAATCCTGGAAATTCAGTAACTTTGTCCACATGTTTTAATGCTTATCTACAGTGTCTGCACAGCGATGATGTTAATATCGCGACATCAGTTCTAGACAATTTAACAGAAATTACGCTATCGTTGCAAGAATATGCTCTAGATATTCTCAAATGTGTCTTTAATCTCGGTATAACATCAAAAATCAACACATTAGTTCCATTGAAGAAGTGCATCAATGCGATCAAGCTTCAAAATTCGTGTTAAATTAACATTTTACTATAATTAATCAACATTTTGTAGATTGTAAGAATTAACGGTAATAAATTTTTTGAAAAAATGTGCAACCTGCTGTAATTGACACTCTTTAAGTTAGTTGTACACAAATTCTGTTTTGGAAAAGATTTATTTAGATTTAATTAAGTTTTCTATTGAATATGAGTAAAAGAAGCCACAAATCAGCAAATGATGAGCGAGACGATCCGCCAATGAGTCGATTATTTATCGTGTGCAGTAAAAATAACACAGAACAAGAGTTTTATGAAGCTTTTAATAGATTTGGGAATGTTGAGGATGTAAAAATTGTTAAGGAACGAGATGGAACCAGCAAAGGAGTTGCTTTCGTAAAGTTTCAAAAGACATCTGAAGCAGCTAATGCATGTGAAGGATTAAATGGACAAATGATAGGTACAAGCTCGAGACCGATTAAAGTTTTAATAGCTGCAAGGTAAATTTGTTTAAATTAATGTAGTTATGCTGTAATTATGTTTATTGACATTTCAGCCGTAACATGGGATCATCATCAGGCAAGAGCCGTGAGGACGAGAAGGCACAACGATTATTTATAATAATTCCAAAGTAATAAGATTTTGTAATTCAAATTTGGCACTTTTTAATGTCTAATTATTACTTCCAGAGGATTTACTGAAGAAAACTTACGTGATGAATTCGACAAGTACGGTGAAATTGAGGATATATCAATAATCAGAGACCGAAAGACAAAAGAAGGGAAAGGATTTGCCTATATAAAGTTCAAGAAGTAAGTGAGATTTGTGCAAAGTACAAAAGAACTTTCACTTCATTGGCTCATATATCTAACATTATTTTAGTGCTGTTCCATAAGAGACCTTTTGCTTTCAATTTTATTATTTTCTTCTCCTATATATCTACATCACTCTTTCTTCTCATTTCATTTTCGTGCATATATTTTATTCATCAGATTTAGCTACGCGGCTTTGGCATTTGAAAATTGCGATGAAAAGTATAAAGCGGTATTTGCAGGTAGGTAAATTATGATGATATAATAGCTGTGTGATAGAGAAAATATGCATGGTCTATATTTTATTATGGGCTTGGTTGTTGTGCAAATTACAACATACTACTTTTATTTTTATCATAATTCGTTTAGAGCCAAAGCCATCCCGATCGTCAGGCTCACCGAATGATAGTAGCAGTAATAGCAGCAGTAATTATGGTGATGATCGATACGGAATGAGCCACGATTTAATGGTATCTAATAGTGGAGATTGTGCATTACACGTTATTTGTAGTCCGATGGTAAGATAATAAACTTTAATAAGTTGTAAGTTGTTGCTGGAAGTGAATTAAGCGCATTTTCAATGGCTTTAAAGTAAAGCAACTCAAATGTTTGAAAACCTTACAAATGATACTTTAAAGTTCAAAACCTTACAAATTCTATTAATGCTCTAAAACCAATCAAATGTTAATTTTAGATTCAAAACCTCTCAAATTACTTTTTAAGGAATAAAATATAGAAATTTCTTCATTAAGATATTAAGATAGATAGCTAGACAATGCGATACACAAACACCGTGAGAAAATGCGCTTAAAAATTATTATCTCCTTAGAGTTTTACTTCCAGATACACCTAGCAATAAAATTTTATAGTGGACTAATTTATTTATTACGTATAGATAACACACGATCAGCTGTGGAGATTATTTGATATCGTTCCGAATATGGATTATTGTAAAATGAATTCCGAGTCAGGTAATGTGATATCCAGTCGCCGATTTAATGATATTTGATATGATTGCATCAATAATATTTCTTTATTATTTTATAGATTTTTCTAGCAGTGCCACAGTTGTATATAAGACACAACAAGCCGCTCTTCATGCAAGACAAAAGCTTCACGGTTTTGAGTATCCAATTGGCGAGAGTAAGTTTGATATTAAATTTCAACATGTCCCATTGGGAATTTTATGAATGATTTTTAATGTCTATTTAAGGGTTGATAGTAAAATTGTCATCGGAAATGAAAAGCACACCCGTTGTTGATACGCAAAACTTCTTTAACAATTCAAATGGCGCAAATTTCTGCTCCGTGAATTTACCAAGCCCTCAAGCACAAGCACCTCCCCAAGCACAATGTGCTCAGAGATGCTTTATCGTTTGTTCGCCTCATGTTCTGCCAATTCATGTCCTTAAAAAAGTTTTCTGTAGATTTGGTAATCTGATTGACGTGTACTTGTTGAGTAATCGTAATTGTGGCTATGTGAAATATGCATCGCATGAAAGTGCCAGACAGGTAAACAATATTATTCTCTTCTCTGTCTTTTTTTTTGCATTTTCTATCCAATTGTTTTATTGTTTCGTGCTATAAATTATTCATGTTGGCTAGTTCATTTGTAATGAATTATTTAAATCTTTATTATTGCTTTTAGGCAATGAAAACATTACATGGAGCTGAGATATATGGTGTTAAGTTGAAAGTATTAGAAGCTGAAGAGCCATCCGAGCCACGAAAACGATCAAAAATGGATTTAGATTAAACATTCATTAAAACAATTATTGTATTCATCCATTTGCGCACTTATGACTATTATTATTTTATGAGAATTTTTATAAACTAAAAGTTTTGTGGGAAATGAAAAAGAATTGAATACACAAATTGATCATTCATGTATGTTATTAATATATAATGATATTGAATAGACTTTAAGGTAAGACATTATTATATGATGCTTTTGTAACATTTTAAGTGGAATTTATTGTGCTAAATGTCATTTTCATATTTAGATAAAATTCCTTACTTTTCCTTACTGAAAAAAATGAACAAAAAAAAAATTAATAAAACGTTATTCATTAAGAATGAAAATTTTCCATTGAAAATAGGTTTGTCTTGTCTTGAAGCATCGATAAGGTATTATTTGAAGCAGTCAAATGCTGTGAGAATTTAAAGAATTGTTTTGAGTTTAAAATTTTAATTTGTTTTATTAATTGCGATTGATTTTCAGACTAATAAACGACAATTTGAGACCTGAAAAAGAATTCTATACTCCAGAAAAAACTCAGTTCAGACCAATTTAAAAGGTTCCTTAAAAGAAACCTACTAATCTCAAAAAAGATGTGTCATTCTAAGGATTAGCATACGATGATTATTTATCTTGTCCAATACGTCAAGACGCTGAAAGAAATTCAAAAATATTGCTCATCTGATTTGCTAACAGATCCTCGAAAATGTATTTCATTTTATTGTAAATTATTCCAACATAGCTCCTTGACAAATTTGAAGGAAGTCTGGCGTTAACCAGAAACCTCTCAAGAATCAAAATTTTGTTTGAGTCACACATCAACTACTGAATGTTATGAGCTCTCGAATTTTAAGAGTCAAGTGAGAAATTTGTCGACAAGTCCATAAACCATAAAATAAATAATTACCAAAGTAATTAATTAATTACACCAAAAGTCTTTTCAGAAGGAAGAAAAATTGGATAATGTTTTTGAATTTAGCTTCCTAGTTTCTCCTATAGATGCCTCTGGTAGTGTTAATAATACGCACACACCACAACAACTTGTAATTTTTTTCTTCTCTTCACTAGTCAGTCTTCATTCTCATTCACAGCACTATGGTATTTACAATCATTGAAAATATTTATTTAAAGTATAAAAAATGTTTTTATCTTATAACTAGTTAATTAAAACGGACTTATTGAAGACAGTTCTATAATAAACTAGTGAAAGTTGCTAACCATTGGTCCTAAATTGCAATTAAATTGATCGAAATTTAATAGTTTTACTTCTTAAAGAAGTACTTTATATTATACACAAGTTTTTTTAACTCAAAGAAGAGAAGAAGAAGAAAAAAAAAATTAAAAGTTTTTAAGGAACGAAACGAGAAAAAAAAGCAAAAAAATAAGAGAAAATGTAAAAAAATGTAATTATTTAATTATTAAGTGAAGAAAATGTTGATTGAATGATGGAAATATGATGTTTATAAGAAGCAAAAGCTGAAAGATGTAGATTTATGGAGATGAAATTAAAAGGTAATGCAGCTGTAGAACATATTATCAAAAAAAATTCCATCAGACTGTTAAGTGGTGTTTGAAGGATCTTACTCTCGGTTCATTAAAATACACAGAATATTGGAAACAAAATAAAAAAAAAATTCTAAATTCTCAAGGGGATTTCTGGCATTTTTCCCATCCATACAATTTTCACATCTAACTACTATCCCTCTCGAAATTTTTATGTACATAAATTTTTCTGTGTATAGAATTTTTTTTAATGCCACATAAAAGCTATATATCGATTTTTAATTTTGTGTCAAACTTATCAAACTCTCTCTCGCTCGATTCTATGTCTGTTTTTAATGCTGTGTATCCAAAACATAAATAAATGAAAATGAATTTCAAATTAAAGTGGATTAATAATTCAAACATAAATTCATGAAAAAAGAATGTGCATTGTACAAAAATAAAATAAAAATATTCTCATCGCCATTCAAAAGCAAAGACGATAAGCAAAAAGTGAAGGAAGGAAAGAAGAAAATTGTTTGGAAAAAGGATAATGTGTATATACATGAAGAGTGAGGAAAAATGATTCATCCTTTTTTGTGCAACCGTTTTATGTGTGTCTGTGTCAATTTATGTTGTGTAATGTGAGTGTTGTGTGCGTATTTTAATCATTTCATCTAAATAAGACATATCTCTGTATTAGAATCGAAATTATACGCATAAGAAAAGAAGAAAGAATTATTCATTCACTTTACGTTCTTATCATAAATCGTTGGAGTCATTTAACGTTAGTTCGTCCGTGTCATGAGGAAGAGACATGAAGATACTTGTCATGTTGTGAGTCGCGATTAAGAGTATGTGTGGATAGGAAACGCATTATTAACGGCTCAGATGCATTGAAAAATGTTAATTTTAATGTTTTGATTCTGTGACTTTTTAACTCTGGATTTTGATTCATTTAAATTAAATTGAGAGTCTTTAAATGTAAGTTTTCAAGACTAGGATGTTCTGATCTCGAGAAATTATCAAAGTCATGATAATGTTATTTACTGGACATCGACTTGGGAGTTCACCATCTAAGATAGTTTTTAAAAGATTTCAATTCTATTTTTACTGTAGCTAGTTGTAGAATGGAGCTCCTATCTTATTTTTCTGAATCCTTATGTTACTAGCTTTATTGAGAAATCAAAAAGTAGTCAATGTCGAACCCCTACCCTCCTTTGGGGTCGTTCTCATAAACTGTAAATCCAAACTGACTTGTGTATACCCTCTCCCCCTAAGCTTTACAAAATATACAATCAACCCTTTAAACTAGTTTTTTAAAAATCCAACCGAATACCACAAGTCGAATAATTGAGACAAAATAAAACGCTAGGACACTTCACGGGGATTTCAGACCAAGTCGTCCAAGTGTTGGATTTCGTCTCGATTATCCGACTTGTGCTATTCTTAAAAATCACTTTGTGGTGTGGATGTCCACTGGGTTCTAGCTTACATAGTGTGCATTGTCCTAGCAACTTGATATTCTTTAAACAAAGCTATGAGGCAAAAAGGAAGGACTAGACTAGATTTACTAATGACAAAAAATTTTTACATCACTCTTAAAAATTCCAGTCTATACTCACACTCTTCAATAGCATCAAGCTACGTTCCTACCACCATACAGACACTCGGACATTAGTAACTCCTATAAGAATATATTTTAAAAAATTATGTATGCCTATTTAGACACATAGATGAGGTCGACGAAAAAAAAAAGAAGAAGAACAAGAAGAGAGATGCATCGATAAGTGAATTTTATTTGACATGCTTCTCATTTTTAAGCATGCATGTTTACATTCATAAAAAATGTGAATCCAGAATTGATAAGAAAAAAAAAGTTTTAGAATGGGAAGTAGATGTGATGAGAATAATGTGTTGTTGTTACGTTTTGATGATGTATATTTATAAATATTCACATCTTTAATGGCATCAAATTAATTTATGAAACAACTGTCTTTTGACTTTAACTTACTTGACTGACTGCGCGTTGTAACAATTTTTAATTTTTTTCGTTGCTCACAAATCGTGCTTCAATTCCAATTAAAAACCATATATACATCCCACAGCCGTGTGCCTTTTTTTCTTTCTTATTTTTTTATTATTGTGAACATGATGAAGAATTGAATTGAGAGCTGAGAGCGTAGTCAGCAACAGAGTCAGAGAAGTAAGAGCAAAAAGTGACAAGACAGGGCACGAAGAAAATTTATGTTAAAACGGAAATGAATAATTCAACAGCAGCATATGTCGTCTCTACACTTTAAGACGAGAACAAAACTTCAAAATTGAAAATGAAATGAAATGAAAAGGAAGGAAAGAATTTTTTTAGAGAAAAGAAAAGAACGCAGGAACTTTTATTAGAGATATATACAATTTTTTTCTTTCTTTTACATATAAGCATGAAGTAACATTTTCCACAGTCATAAATTTTCCTTCTTCTCTTTATGTCTTCTTCAGGTAATTTCTAAAAATAAAAGAATCATTTTTGTGCATTTAAAAAAAAGGCATAAAAAAAGGCAACAGCAGACACAACGAGAAAGTGCACCCTACTCACTCATTCACAACGAGTCATAACAACATAAAATAGGCATTCATCAAACAACACGCCAAGTTTCTAAGCTGTATTGTTGCCTCTACTTACATCACACACAAACACATCCCAGAGTTAAAAATGAAACGCCGTCGAGTCCTTAATTTTCAAGTGGCGCTCTGTACGATCTTCTTCATGTGTTCTTCATTAAGCCAATCGATCAATGTAAATAATAGACATGCTCAACATACAAATAAAAAGTTTGGAATAGCAACAACGTCGTCAACAATAGCAAATTTAAATAGTCATTTGGCGCCTTTACCGGATACTGATTTATTACCATCACTACTTGATGACGACGATGACGATGAGGATGACAAAAGTGATGACGAATATATGGGTTCACATGAGTATGGTTCAAGTGGCTCAAGTGGTGATATCATCGGAAATCCTGAGACAGAGGACTTGGACAAGTTCCAAGAAAGTGGTATGCCTTTTTTTCTCAAAGAGCCTGAAAATGACTACATTGTGAAAAAGAAACCAGCAACATTAACATGCAGAACAACACATGCATTGAAGGTAAAGTCTAACATTAAACTGAACTATAAATGACGATGATTTCATGTCTTGACATAGATGTTGTATAAATTAATAACATGTAAATGTAATCAAGTGCTGTTTCCTTTTCCATTGTCACTTATAATGACAACCATGATTGTGATGACGGCGATTATATTCTTAAAGAGTATATTTTGGTGATGATGGAATATGTATATCTTTATAAATGGAAATAATATTAAGTAATTACATCGCTAACAACTTGCTGTCTCTTATAAATATTTCATATGCATTTATTTTCGATAAAAATTTGCAGTCGGTTTTTATGACTTTCAGATTGTCTTGTTGTTTAATTTGGTACGGAATTCTAAACTAAATCGACTTAAAGATGTTGTTCATTTGGGATTTTTCAACTTATTGGCATTCATGGACATGTCATAGGCATTTAGCCTCTTTCTTGAGTAGATAAGTCTTGGTATGGGTTGAAGCTGGTTGAAATGATAAACTATTTATAATTAAGATAATCAAAATGGACCAAACAGCTCGATTTCAAATTAGTAGGACTTAGTTGTCTCAAAAATAAGCTTAGGACATTCTCTTGACTAGGAAATATCCCTAAAACACCATAATAACTTCAAAATGAGTCTTCTTGAACCCGAATTTCTACAAAAGAATCTGGTTCCCTTTCCCCTCGTGTCTAAAGAAGAGTATGACATCACAATTGGAAATGACCCAATTCCTAGATCAATTAATAATAAATCTAATCCCATGTCATCTTACAAAAACAAATTAACACACAAGTCTATCTTAATTCCTGTATTAAAAATCACTTCATGGCAAATTCCTCGCTTTAAAATAATTAATCACACTTCTGTCGTGACACTGACCTAGTGCAGAATAATTGCTTCTCTAATAAGGAAATATGCGCTGTAGACATCCGAAAAAGACTAGTCATTGTCTTCCACACGCCTCATTTCTTTTATATTTAATTCGATTTTCTTCTTTCTCATTTATTTTACTTCTCTTCGTATTAAATAAATCAACAGCTGATTTTTAAATGCTCGTCCAGCATTGAACCACCCACAGCATTCGAGTCGCATGTTGATCCGCAAACTGGAATAAGTTATTTAGAAGCAACAGCAACTATTAATCGTGACTTATATGAAACATTTTTCGGTAGACAATTTCAATGCTATTGTATGGCATGGAATTCACGCGGTGATGCCAGAAGTCGATCAGCGGCAGTTGAAATTGCCAGTAAGTTTAAAAGTTTTTCAAACAATTTTATTTCAAGAGCTGTCAAATTGTAAACATCTGTGTCTCGTACTCTTTTTTTAGAACTTGGACAAAACTTTATAATGGCACCGCCAAGTGCACGTATTGAGCCGGGTTATCAGCTCGAACTGAAATGTACACCACCTGAATCACTGCCTAAAGCTCGACTAACATGGCAAAAAAATGGTCAAGACCTTGCGTCCTCATCATTACTAACCATAACAATAGATGGAAATTTAATCATTCATTCAACGAAAATGGTCGATAGTGGCAACTACACATGTCAGGCTGAGAATATTGTTGGAAAGAGAATTTCTAATGTCGTACCTGTACTTGTACGTAGTGAAAAGAGATGGAGTGAGTGGACGTCTTGTGGCGTCGATTGTCGTAAGACGAGACAAAGAAATTGCAACTCGAGATCGCCTGATGACTGTCAGGGAAAGGAGATTGAGACACTCGAGTGTAGCGATGGAAATTGTCAAAATCAAAAGCAAGTGCAGCCAAGATCTGATCGCATCGTGTATATCTCATTAATCACACTCTCTGTCTTATGTGTCATTCTGGCAGCGTTATTTGCTCATTCAAAACGAAAGAAACCTGAAATTCCCGATTATATTGTGACAGACAATGGTGAGTTAATTCATAAAATACTTTTTTTTTATTTTCTTTATGTTTATTTTGATATGAAAAATTGTACCTGGGTTAGAGATAAGGGGTCGTTCATTAGTGATGTATATTAAGGGTAAAGTTTCATTCGAAAGCAGATGAACGGGGTTCTTATCGCACTAGATACCCCTGAAATGTTTTAGCGCCAATTTTATTAGACTTCCTTATTAAGCTTTAGCAGAAGGGGGGGGGGGTCAAAAAATCTCATATTTTTCAATTAACATCATTGATGAACAACCCCCAATAAATTACGTGCTATTATCATATCTCTCAAACTCAAGTTCACTAAAATGTGACTTAATTACCTTTTTTTTATCTACTTGTGAGTGAGGAAGCAACTTAATTCCAAAACAAAAATTTTTCTGTCATTCTAATTTTCTCTAAAAATAGAAATATTAGAAATTCAACCAAAGAATGCATACGAGGGTGGAGAGAAGCGATATAGACAACAGCTCTTAGAGCCGATGAAGAAACAATCATACACATACGAGTATAATACAATGGCACCAGAATATAATCCACAGCCGACGTATCCGCCAATAAAACGTCAAATAACGCCAAATATTCATGAGAATCATTATCATGAACCGCAGCTTGCCATCACTTATTCAGTTCCTTTTGATAAGATAAGCAGTAAAGTTTCAAATTCTAATACATCATCGACGCGTAAACTTCAATCAGATACAATTTCTAGCAGCACAGAATCATGTAAGTCATGAGAACAATCAAACATCATTTATTTCTTTTTGATAATTTACCGAACAGCAGAAGTATTTTATAACATATTTAACTTGTGTCACAAACATTATCTCTTTCATTCCATGTGTACACAAATAAATGCCGGCTTGTAAACTACAGTAAACTCAACTCAGGTCATTGAAATGGAATCATCATCGACAACGTCATTATTGAATGATAAAAATCAGCCTAAATCAAATATGATTGAACAAATGGTGACATCGAATGGTGGCTGGCTTGAACTCGAGCATTTAGAGACGTCACTTTCGATACCGGAATTGACGTTTGAGCGTACGAGGAAATATAATATATTCCTTACCGTTCTACACAACGAATTTATAAAGAATCAAATTACGTGTAATTTTAATGATAATTCAACTCATTTAAGCTCAATTATTTATTGTGGGCCATCTGAAGTCTTACTTAATAAGCCCGTTATTCTTAAATTTCCACATTGTGCTAATCAATTTGAGAATTGGAGTATCTCATTACTTCATAACAGTTGTGCTAATGATAGTCAAAAAACGTACATCGATATGGACGATGAGAAAGATAAGTGGAAGAGAATAGCATCAACAAGTAATGATGTTGTTAATCCCTTAGCTTTTATACAATTAGATTCTAAGAATGCATTTATCATTTCGAGAGTTCTCGGCAAACTACTACTCATTGGCGAGAGTAAAACGCCCGAGATATCTGTCGAGAAGCGAATGAAAATTGCTCTCTTTGGACCAAAGCATAAAATGCCCGTAAGTGATTTTAACGTAAGAGTTTATATTATAGAAGACTATCGTAGCAGCATTGATTATTGTACGATCATTGAGAAGAATTTGGGTAATGATTTGTTAATGCTCAGTAAGGACTTTCTGTTTAAAAATAACAAAGAAGATTTATGGGTGCAGCTTGTGTGCTCGGGCGGATGGCAAACGCGTAATGAATCTCAAAAAATTCCTTACTCGCATTTATGGAAGAATTCATATTTATTACATTGTGATTTCCTACTCGAACGTAGTAATAATGCCGTTAATAAGTTAAATATGGAGATTTTTGTAAAGCAGAAGAATGGCGATGATATTTTCCTTAATAATCTTCTACTATACTCATAGACTCACTTCGTTATTGTCAGAGATGGTAAATGGGTGACTGTAAATAAATGATTGACCTAAATTGATACCTAGTCTTTACTTAAGACTTAGATTTTGAATTATATTGATCTGTTCTTGATCTGTTGTTTAGATCATGACTTTGATTGATATATTCTTGACCTAGGATCTAAATCCAAACAGAAACTAGAGAACTTTGAATTTTAAAGCTAATTTTGATCGAGAATGACTGTAAATTGACACTCTCTGTCAATATGATCTTCAAACTGATGGAACTAAAGATTAAATAGCAATTACAGAAATGGCATATTCGTGTTGACAGAGTGACAACATGACAATTTGGTACTCATTGTCGATTTGAAAAGTGAAAATTTGCTTAAACAACATATTTTATATTCCTAGGTTTTGTATTGGACTTAGTTCAAGATATCTACTTAGTTCAGTCACAATTTAGTAACAGAACAACCAAAATTAACAACTCTGAACATTATCGTTTCCTCATTGATGCCTCGACTTAAAATTAATTTCGTTTTCAATTAAAAATTGAGTTTTTTTATCTATCCATAATTTCGTGTTTGGAAGTGAATAGCGCGAGAAATCAAAATTGGAAACCTATCGAATTTCTTCAATCACACACGTAAACAAGTTCTTCACTCTTTTTCTTTCGCCAGTCAGTAAATGGATTTTTTACACTCAATTATTTTTTATTATTATATTTTCATCTTAGCTATTTTTCTTAAAAGGCAGAAAATAAGAGAGCCAAAAAATGAACGAAGATGAAGACAGTCGAATAAGAAGAATATGAATATTTATGTTTACACAAAAAAAAATATAAATTTCATTTGCATTTAATTTATGTGAGTCATTAGGTCTCTTCGTTCGTTTTTGTTGGAAATAAAATTGATTACAGGAAAATAATGAAGTTCAAATTTCTTTCGAACATTACTGATGAAAAGTATTAATTTGTTATCTGTGGGAGTTTGAGGTTGTTTGAAAATGGTTAATCGAAAACGAATAAATATAAATTATGACTCTAAGCGTTGCTCAAAACAGCTATAAACGCAAGTGTTTTGTTGGAATTGAAACGGTGTTAAATTAAGAGAATTATTAAGGCCTTTAAAACACTGAAGATTTGTGGAATTGTAAAGGTCGTTTATAAATGACGTTCATTAAATTGTTTGATATTTGGAACTGAAATCTTTAACTTATTATGTCCTCAAATTATAGCTTAACAATACCTTTGGTAATAATAAACATCAATAAAAATAAGAAGTTTGAATATTTCTGTAAAGAGTTTACTAAACGTTTAGAATCAGAAATTTTTAAACTTTTTGAATCAAAAATCTACTTAAATGGTTGTCAATCTAGTTGTTAGATCTTATTAATCGACTAGAGCTAGTTTAAAATGGTTAAGTTCGACTTAAAAAACATTATTAAGTTCAAATTTCTGACTTTCCAGATGTTTGTCATTTAAAATCAACCCCATTCATTTTCGATTAACAATTTTCAAAGTTCTCAAACTTTTCAAAAAACAACGAATTTTAAAACAAAGATTTTAAATTGAATTCAAAATTTTTTTAAATGCAGCTAATTTTTCAAAAAAAAAAGAATGAAGAATGAAAAGAATATAAAGAATCGAATATACTACACAATAAACTACTTATATACTCATACAATGTATGAAGAATCATAAAGTTAATGAATTGATAAAATGTTCTCATTTTTTTGGTGATATTCATTATGTAGAAGTAACAGAATTGAAACACATTTTCGACTTAAATTTTGGAAATAAATGAAGAAGAAAGAAAAAAACAATCGTCAGTAATAATACGCTTATAACCCCGGTCTTTCGGTTTCTTGACATTCAACATGTTTTAATTATCTTCAGTTGTTGCTTATTTTTTTTTGTTCGCGAGATCTTTTCTCCAGTTTCTCTTACAAAAATCTATTAATCTATTTATAATTCCAATATAACGTATTCATCTACTTACTTAATTCATGTTGTTTTTGTTCGGACTATATCTATACATTCATAACATAGAGCGTGTCGTTTCAGAGCACTTATTAGAAGGAAAAGAAAATATTAGATTGGAATGATATGAGCAAAGAATAGCTAAGCGTAGAAGTAATTGGCGTTTTACTATTGTAGAATGAAACATGTTCTAATGACATGAGAACAGCCTGTAATCAGGGTGAATAGTATAATGCAATCTATCTAATTTTTTAAAAAAATGTTTTTTTTTCGGCTCAGCATCTTAAATATTTCAGACGATTAATTTTAATTTTTATGTTGCCAATGAAATTTTATTTGAAAGAATTTTATTTTTAATGTTCTTTGAATATTCATCGCTTGAGGTACATACATTATGCAGAAAGAGAAATTTATGATGATTGGATATATCCATCGTAAAAGCAAAAGCTATTTCATTAAAATAACTTTTATTGGAACATTAGAAACATAAACATTGACTTTGTGCTGTTAGACGAGCAAAAGTGATTAGATATTGACAGTGTCATGATGAAATTTCATGTTTTATGAGTTGTGGCTATTAATAAACTTTAATGAAAGGTTTCTTAATCTTTGTTGTCTTTTTTAAAGTATACTTTAAAGGGATTGAAGATATTGATTGAAAGTTTAAAACACAAACAGATTCAAACTTTTATTGATCTACAAGAGGCAAGGCAAGACTAAAAGTTGAACCTTAGAGAAGCCATAAGTATAGTCCCTAAACTGAAGTAAACACTAGTTTGTAGTTTATTTTAATAGACTTTGGAGTGTATAGAGCATTGAATTCATATAAATATGCCAAACAGTAAACACAGCAAATTTGATCTACTGTTTTATTGTTAATGAAACTCTTTACGAATGTTTATTTTCCGGAGTTCGTAAACAGATTGAATATTAGTTTAGAACGGGGCAAACAACTATGATAATGTAAATATTATCCAAATCTCAAATAAACGTTAAGACATAAAACTGGTGTTAAAACCCGAGTTCATTTAAATTAAGCTATGCTTTTGGAATACTGTGGAGTTAAAAAATTAAAACCAGAGATCAGTATTAATAACAGGACATGATTTTCTGATTTTACTGACAATCTGAGCTTCAAAAGTATCCGTTGTTGGAAGAATTATTCCAACCTAATTTCCATGAATTCAAAAGTCATCAAGACATTGACCATGAGCTTCAAAAGATTCAAATGCAAGCCACAAATTTCCAGAGAATATATCAAAGTCTAAAAATTCGTAGAAAGTTTGTATCATCGAATACTAACAACCTAGCCTTTTAAAAAGTGAAGGAATCATGACTGATGTTTCCTCTTTATGTTTTCGTCTCTTTAGCATTCATTACAGACTACATTTTGTGTTCTACACATTACTTTCAATGAATGCAAATGATGTGAGTTAAAGTTCTTCTTTTTATTCTTTCGAATATCATAAAAATTCTTTATAGTCATAAAATAAAAAGAAATATGAAAATTAAAATTAAATTGTCAAAAAAAAATTATTAGATGTGCTGAGTCGAGAAAGAAATTCTAAAAATGAATCAAAAGAATTTTTGTTTTTTGTTGGAGATGTGAGAATTTACTGGTAGTGATGAACCCACTCGTAAAAGTAAACTAATAATAAGTATGTAATAAATTTAATAAAATCCATATGTATAGCAAAAAAAAAGTAACTATTATACAACATAGGCGGATGCATGAAAAAGTTTTTCCAACATTTTATATATATACAAGAAATGAAAAAATTTAAGGAATTACCTTATGTATTAAGAGTAATATTTAAAACGTAGTCTCTTTTTTACCCTTACCAGTGTGAATGAAATTCCTTCCCATGATGTGTCGTATAATAATAAAAAAAAACTGTGTATATTATGAAAGAATTAGTAATTTGATAGCTGGACATCTAACGGCGATAATTAAGAAGCAAAAAAATGAAATCCTCTTATTTTCTATTTATACAGTTGTCCAGCTGCATTTATTTGTAGTGCCAAAAATACTTTATAGAAAACCTATATACGTTTTATAGATGAAAGAAATTAACTGATTGAAAAAATATAAAATAAATTTTTTTTCTTTTGTCATAAAACCTTACATAGTTATTTATTTTAAGAAGAAACAAAAAAAAAAATTATGTAGAGAGTTAGACAATAAAGAGAGAAAGAAGTTTTTTACAAACCCACATGTTTATGACTTTATTATTATTATTCTTCCATTCATTCATTTATTCGATGCCTCGCTGCTTGCCTGCCTGCTTGCTGTTATTGACATAATCAAAATTATTATTATTTTTATCGTCGTTGATTTCGCTTTGTTGGTATTATTAATTTCGTTCTTAAATAAACATTAATATGGGAAACATCAATAAAACTGTTTCTTGGCGCGACTTTTAGGATGGAAAGAGTTTGCACTTTGTCTGTCTTTATATTGATTATTCTTTGAATTTGAGGTTTTACCTGATCTTACAATGCTATTACTAGGTTGAGGGTAATAAGCAAGGTCACAGAGTTTTATGGTTTAAGAACACTCAATAGAGTCCTCACAATATAATAAACTCATCGAATTATGCAGTTTTTACATTTCTTAGACCGACAAAATCTAGAATTTCTTTAATGAGTGTCTGAGCCGCAACCAATCCTTTAATAGAAAATTATAATAACCTTCAGAAATGACTGACGTAAGTTTGTGTCCCCAGTTTACTTAAATTTGGTATCCTCATGTTATAAGACAAGTTACAGCAAATGTAAGTAATTGTAGGGACTAAATTTGAACACGGCTTCCATTAAAAAATTTAATTGCTATCACGACCTAGATTTTAAAGATCTTTTCAGATTGAAACATTGAAAATCTATTGTCAATAAGTTCAATTCTGTTGTTGTTTTAATTGTTCCAATAAGACTTTTGCTGGGTACAGAAATGGCATAATTTTCAGTTTCAACTTCTTGTAACCAGATCGATAAAACAAGATTAAAGCTGTCGTTATGAATTCAGTTAAGATTTATAATAAATGTTTTTTTTTAACTTTCAGTTCCGTTAAATATTCTTTATCTTTAAGAAAATGCGCTATAAACCACAAATGTCCAGCTCTTTATTAAATGTTTACTGGTTGCAAGTTATTAATTCAGTCCTAATAAAATCGCTCCCACTGCAAATGCTCAAAAATGGTTGCATTGTGCCCCTTTCAATATTATTATTTTTGGTTAAAAACTTTTAACAGAAAATGAGGTCTTATCTACTTTCGCTTGTGCGAGCCTTCAAATAAATTTAATAAAGAAATTGCAGAATCAATCAACATCAATTTAATAATTGTATAGGAACTATATACATCTACAGCGCAAGTAAAATTGATTGGATTAGACATCAATTGTGTAATTAAATTATCAAGAACATTCTTCGGCAATTATTTAATGAATTCTTTAACTGAATTGAGATGTACATATGTTTTTTTTTTATTGTTAAAAGAAACGCTCAATAGCGCCCGACATGACGTACGCAAATGTTTATTTATTTACTTATACAGGGAATCATATTTCTTATTGCATAATCATCCTCCTTCTTTTCTCATAAATACTCATCATCATCATCAGATCCCCGTCAACAACACTCAAAATATGTTTATTGAGAAAACATTACCATTGACCGACAAAGGAGCGTAGTGTTTCATATACATCCATAGAGTGTGTGGCACATGTGATGATGCAGAGTGATTCCCTCTTAAGAGAAAGAAAATTTTCGAGTTTGTCGAAAAAAAAAGAATTTAAATTGACTTTTTATTCACTCAAAATTCTTTCTTTCCAGCTGTATACATAGATGTGTGTATTTACTGCATTAAACAACTCATTCCCTGCTTAATTCACAATTCAGAAGAGTTTGTTTACTATAGTACGGAGCCGATCATATAATGAACATGTTTATGAACTTTTTTTCTTCTCGATTAGCTCTTTTGTAGCCATTTCCAGAGACTCTGAATTTGTTTACTTAATGATGAGAAATTCTTAAACTTTCTTTCTTCTTCTTCCACTTCTTTTTCAATTCGGAAGAGTGAAAATGATAACTTAATTCAACAGAAATGATTTGTTTGGATAATGGAGTAATTGAAATCTTTATTGTGTTGAAATGAGATGAGAATTTTCAAACAATTAACTTTTCATGTGAATTTATTTTTTATCCAGCATGTTTTTTTGGAAATTATTTGAATAGATTATTGTGAAGAATTGTTGTTTTAAGTTTGATGAGTCTACTTGAATATTAGACAGTATCTTATAAACTAAATCTGACGACTTTAGAAAGAAATTTAAAAAATA